TCGGTGTGCGGCAGTGTGTATAGCTGTTTGATTTTTAATGTGTATTTATATAGTCATCTGCAAATTACAATGCTAGACTGCGTTGGCAGGAGTTCTCAAGCCATTAACATTGCCTTGACGTTGGGCAATGGCTCTTCTTTGGAGATTACAATCCATAGCTTAATCGAGGTACTGAGGGCCGAAATACAAAGCAGCTGTTGGCGACGGCAAGCCCTCTTCACGATTATCAACTGCAGTTGGTTGCAAGAATTTCACAGTGATTTAGTTTTTTTCCCTATCTTGTGCTGCTTTGAATTATGCGGAATGGAAAATGTATCTTAAGGATTCCCCATTTCACGTAATTTTATCCGTTGGTGATTTTCTTGGTGACAATACACTTATGTCATCAAGACGTCGGCAGCATTAGGCAAATGGCCATCTCTTCTGGCCTATTTGTCATGACCGATGCGAATATATTGCATCAAAATGCCACCACATCTGAAGATGCTCTACAGAAACAGCATGCATATTTTATTCAGTAATACCTCGATATGCGAATATTCGATGTATGAATTTTGAGTTAAAACAAACTTTGCTTTATTATCACTTTACAGTAAATATAAATTTTAAAAATAAACAAACTGAAATCACGAAATAAATAATACGTTTGTCGATCTCTGCTAATACGTAAATAAGAATAAAAATGTCTTCGATTTATTTTATTTATGTCAATTCTAATATAGTGCAATATAAGTAATTTTCATTATAAATAGTTTTTTTACAATATGTAAGTTACAAAGTTTTTATCGTATCAAATAGTATGCTACGAAGGCTGGGAATTGTATCCTCATAGTACTAAAGGTATAAGTTATTCAATATATGACGTTTCAATATACGAACGAAGCTGCAGGAGGCATTACTGTACACCCAAATAGTCAAGTCATAGGCAGAGGAAAAAAATCAAGAATTGGACTTTAACAGTGGCAGGGAGTCGAATGCACAGATGGCTGAGGAAAGGGAGTTCCGGACTACATAGGCAGCAAGGTGTTCATCTTGTCCAATTTTTTTTTAGCAACTGCACATGGATTCGTGACTTGCAGCTGCCCTTCATACAATGACAACTGTGAAAGCCGTATGTGTGTTGACGTACTTGTCGTCGTAAGAGCAGATGAAACCAACTTTAACCCACTTCTGGCAGCCTTGGCCACATCCATGTGCAGCCATTGTAAAGCCCCCTGCATGATGCCTCTGGTATCAGGCGGTGTTTCTACTCTGCACGGTGCAGTAACACCCCCACTGCCTTGTTTGCCGAGCGTGGCGGGGGGGGGTTGCAGGCACGGTAACCTCTGCCGTCACCATCTCCACCTCGTCCTGGTAACAGCTGCGTTTCCTAAGCGACGAGCGCAACAGCGGTTGCCTGTTTCCCAGTGACCACCCATGACCCTCTCCTGGGTTTTGCGCAGCTGCATGTAGTCGGCATCTCGGCGTGAGTGTCTGGAGTTTTAGCGTCTCTCCATGCATTTTCACTGTGTTCATCGCGGGTTTGACAACGTTCTGCATGCCTGGGGTGGTTATAGGTTGACGTTTTGATTGGACAGTTTGTTCGTTAGGCTCTGCTGCGTTTGACGCTGAATTGTGACAGCTCAGGTTACGTGCTTGTGTTATCACGCATGTACCTGACCTGGTGTGTGTTTGTGCATGCTGCTTAATTGCGACTTGTTTTTTTTCGGCAGAATGCGCTGTTGTGCAGCTGTGTGTCTGCATAATGTCTCTTTACGACCATAGCCTGGTTGTGTAAACCAAATTAAGTGAAAATTTCCCTCGACAGCTATTTAAATCAGTGGCAATTTTACTTGAGGTGTTTTATGCAACTGACTACAGGTGTATATACTCTGGTGGTTTTAGTGTCGCGGTATATGTGTGTCCTAGTTTGAGCGGTAGTGTAATGGTTAGCGCGTTGCGCTACAAACCAGCAACCCGAGTTTGATTCCCGCTCACGGCCAAGGCCAGTGACGAATATCTGAACTGCAAGAGAGCTGTTTCCATTGCCAAAACAGAAACCATAATGTAAACAAAGCCAGTCGAGGTCTAAACGCTCATAAATGGGCATTGCTGGTTGGCCGAGGGCATGGCTCAGCCCCACTTGCGAGCACTCGGATTGGACGAAATTGGCGCCCGCGTGCATAACGTAAACATGACCGTCAAATCAACATTTTTACGTTAGTCAACCATGGGTTCCTCTGGAAGGCGAAACGTTAACCGACTACTGTACATCGTTATCGATATTGGGCTTGCTTGGGTCACTGCCGTTTCACTGTGGCTCTTTGAGCACTGCCCCAGTCTATCTTCTCGGCGTCTTGCCTTGACTGCTTGATTCTCCAAGCGCCGTACCTCTCAACAACTCTCCCTCATCACAACTTCTCGCATCCACCTGAACCCTCCACAGGCTCCCGTTGTAGGTGTTGCCCACACTGTTGAGCATTAAGAGGCCAAGCCGGATAGATGTTGGGTGCGCAATGCATGCTAATTTTCTTACAAACTAATTGTTTTCCCACCATCACTTATTCTATGTTCTTTGCACCGTGCCTCCGACCGTGCCGCATCTTCATTTGGACCACTAGCATCCCACTTCATCCCGGCGCTGTTCCGGTGGAGGGTAGCAGCAATGCTTGCGGTGACACCAAACATCCTTGAGGCTTGGGTGAGCGGTCAACGGGGAGGCATGAGTAGTGCAGCAGGTGCAGTGGATCCTTGTGGCGCTAGCCGCTTGTAGCATTTACCAATCTCGTTGATTAGACTATCGATTGTTGGTTGGTATCTGACAAAAACAACTCGTGACGACAAAGACTGCTTTGGAAAAAAAATGTCAGATTAAGTGTTAAGGCAGATGTTTTATGCAAGAGTAGTGTCCATTTTGTTGTATGGTTCAGAAATATATCTTTCAACAAAGCAACTGTAAAATACAATTGCTTTGATGTGGAGGATGCATAAATTGTCATGGAGTAACGTTGTAAACAACATGGAAGTGTTTTAATGGAACGTGGCAAGAAACTTGCAGATATAATCAGGAAAAGGAGGCTGTGATGGCTGGGGCACTTGTGCAGGGTGGAGAAGGCATGTTACTGAGACTGGCATGGCAGTGGCACCCAGAGGTCACAGACCAAGGGGAAGACCTTAAGTCAGATGTTGGAATATGGTAAGAGCAGACGTTGAAGGTCAGATGTACCACAAACATGGCATCTGGCAGAACAAAGAAAGTGATGTGTGGTGACCCCTTTACGTGACCTTGGCCAAGACAGTTTATGGTGAGGGCTTTGGTGTTGCCGAAAACCTTATGACTTTAGGAGTGTGCAGCAGCTAATGTGCGTCTGGAGACTCGCATTGATATCTGTTTTAAGTTTGGTTTGGTCTTCAGGTGGCGATATTGCCATTCGTCCGAATGGTTTTCTTGGAAAAAACTTGACTTGCACTGGCATGCATAAGTTAAATGACTCACATTAGTAGCTAATAAAAACAAACATCCGCTGTATTTTTAACACAATTTTTTGGTCCTGGACGGTATTTTTAAACATGGGTTATGTTTTTATTATTAAATGGATCGTAATGAAGTGCTCCGTTAAAGTTCCCAACGGTGATCATGCTGGATGAGGAGAGGTTATTGACCTTCAAAGATATTATAAATAATGTCCAGACAGTCCACTGCTAAATGAGAAGGTATACTCATGCCATGTTCGTCATAAAAAGAACTCGCCACATATACATTTTTCTCGCTGGTCCTGGTAGGTTTCTAAAGCGGGGACAGCTATGGATATCACTTGCCACTGATGTTTGCCGTGGCTGGAAAACCAACTCAGCTCCCCGGATTCATAGAGCAGTGCACTTACCTTCACATTGGATGTTGATGACAAGTTTTAACTGCACACGCACACAAGTATAAACACATGCACAGTATGCCATTGCTGCTGTTCACAAATGTAAGCACCCGTAACAAAAAAAGTATATATGTTAAACAGGCTGTGTTGGCAGTTGTGCACAGGCTCAAATACAAAAAACACTGGCACATTCATCATTCTGAAGGGTTACTACACAAAGCATTGGTGTATTATGTTTTCCTGTCAAAGGGCAGTGATGAATCTGGTGATATTTTTTATTCTACTTAAACACCTATCCTGTACATACAGCGCATGGGAAGAGCACTCAGTGTGGTATTTGCTAAATTTGAAATGCCATGGGTTTGCTCTACAAATATAATTACTTGAAATATGTGCAGTATTTTGTTTGAGCCAGGAGACACTTTTGCTGATCCTTAATTGTAAATATAATTGGCTTTGGGCTGTAATGTTGGCACATAATTACCTACTCGTTCAATTAACATCACAGAGGATGAAGCATAAAAAACGTGGTTCTTATATTGTAGATTTGTACGTAAAATTTGCATCACTTGGAGGTTAGTGCTGAGCTGTCACCGCCAGAATTGTGGATTTAATACAGGAAGCTATTTAGCCAGTTAATAGTCCGGTCATTGGAAGAAAAAAAAACAAATCACACTTAATGTCTTTTTGTTCAATTTGCCAATCATTCCAGTTGTGAGAATTAAAATATATTGGATTGTCTGCCATTTCTTTCTCTTGTTAGGTGTGTGGGAAAGTGCACCCTCTAGTGTATGCATAAAAAAAGGTCGCTCGAAGAGATCTCGGAAGCAATTCTGCGGTGTCTTTTTCTGCTGGTCATTCTCTGAGCGTGGAGCAATGTGAAAAATATTTATACAGACACTTTACACAAAATATTTATACAGACACTTTATCTCATGACACCGATAGGACGAATTAAAATAAAACTTCGAAAAAGACAAACATCTAAATTGCGTCAATTTCAACTCTCTCCTGCTCAGCAGAGCTTGTGGCAGTGCTGCTCACCTCGCATCAGACGGTGCCTTTGGGAGCCCGCTTCTCCGTGTCCGGATCGCGGCGTGCACTTGCTTGTACAGTAACCCACCGCTGGTGCCTGCATGTCGCATGCAGCAGTGACGGCCGGAGCCAGCGACCCTGAGCGAGGCCGCGACCCGGGGGTCGGGCGTGGCGATGCCAAGGCGCCGTCTGGAGTCCCAGACAAGCAGCCGAGAGCGGCGCTGGCAGGGGGTGGCGAGGGGACAGGAGGAGGGCAGCGTGACTGGGCGCCGTCCGACTCCGCTGCTGCACTGCCTGCTGCAGCGGCACAAGAACGCGGAGCGGACCGCGGCGTGACACCGGTGCCACAGGCCCGGGACGCTGTTGGGCAGGCCGCGGGCAGCGACGAAGAACGGCGAGGGGCGTCCTGTGAAGCCCGAGTGGCCAGGCTCCCTCTTCACAAAGGTGCACCGGCGTTCCCGCCACGCGTTAGCAGGGCACAGAGGGGTAAATGATTGCTCGCGTACTGGAATAGTGGTTTGGCTGGTGCACCCATTGTAGTTTGTCCCACGCGTTTGCTATGTGTTTTTGTATATATGTGTGTGTGTGTAAAAATGGGAAGTGTGCTCTCTGGTGTGCCTTTGTGTGTGTAAGTGCGTATGCTTGCATGTGAACGTTACGATTTGTGTTGAATTTTTTAAAAGATTATTTATTCAAATTGCAGCATTGAATGTAATGAGGCAAAGGGTATGTTTGGTGTAAACATTAATAGCCAAGTGCTGCGAATGCATTCGTGTGTGTTTGTAAGGGCAATTGTATCTGCGTGTCCGAGTGTATGCATATGTGTGTTTGCCTACTTGTGTGGGTCTATTTTCATGCTTGTGCCTCTGCGCATGCATGCCTGTTCATATGCTTGTGTGCACATACGTTTGTACATTTCTTTGTGTGCGTTTTCTTCCATACGGATGCTTGTGCGTGCATTTGTGCAGGAACAGCGATGGCTCCAATCCGAGACGCAGGATCCCATTCGTCAACCCAGGCTGGTAAGTCTTCGCTCTGCCATTCCACCCTCCGCTTTAATTACCTCCCTCTGTCTTCCACTGCGCCTTTATTTATTTGTGTCGTGCACTCTTACTGTAACCTCCCCCCCCCCCCCCCCCCCCCCCTTGTTCGAAGTGGTTCTCACGGATTAAACAGCCAGACACCAGACAACAACACGAGGCAAATTTTCACACGACTCGACAGCAGTGACCTATTTGCTCAAGGGATAATGCACAAGCCGCTGCCGCCATTAAAGGCGACGAAGCGGTTTGCATCGACGCTCTTGCTCAGACGTCTCGTCGTCTCTCGCCCCCCCACCCCGCATCACCCCCAGACACGCGCCGTCATGACGTGCGTTTGTCGAGCTGTAAAAATACAAGTGCAGTCACGCGTAAGGGTTGTAAAGAAAGGAAAATGGGATAGGGAGGGAGGGATTGAAGGTTTGAATGAAGTGAGGGCGAGTGTTTTTGTACTCCACCTCGCCGTACCCGCCTCTCCGTCACAACGCCTTGGGTTCTCTACTGCTGGATGTCCGTTGAAATATTCGTGTAAATGTGCACACATTTGTGTACGTGGGTGCGTACGTGTGTAAATATGGTTATGTGGATGGGTCAATTTATTGATGAAGATCGATTCTTCTTCAGCTCATGATACATGAGTATAATCAGTTATGTAAGAATTGATCTTTTAAAATCCATATGCGTATACAATTGGTGATCGTTACCTCCAGGTTCTAGAAGAGCATTCAAATCAAATAGATTGCTGTATCCCAATACTTAGTAGACTGTTAATTGCATTGCAAGGGCTGCAAATTGTCCGAACCCATATTGGTTACAATGTAGTCCAATTTGCATTTACACAAAATACGTGATAGACTTGTGCTTCAACAGTTTTTCAGGGCCGAAAGACTCATCCCGGCTCTCTGTACCTGGAGACGTATGCGCGTGAGTGGAAACCTCGACTTTGCCTTGTTCGTGCGGTGCATCGCCCCCATGTGTCTTATTAAAGTGAAACCGCCCCGACCCATTTACATGAAGATACAATCCAAAATAACCAGCAGCACTTGTGGACACACATCTAGGCTGTGTAACCCATCACTGGACAATGCACCCTTAAATCTTCATTCACGAGACGATAGGCTTTACTTTGACATTTGGCCATGCGGTTATGCTGCGATAGTGATGTCCACTGCATTAACATTAAGCTGTGCAAGAGTGACGTTGCTCGATCCTACAATGAAGCACCTGTCTGTAACTTTAAAGGATTTTTTTCTCCTTAACCAAGCTTCAAACTTGCCAGACGGCCAGGAACGCACTTTTTCCAGCCTATGCCCCCATGGCTGGGACTTTGCCACAGCGTCTTCGTCTGCAGTGCTCGGTGCTCTTTGCCATTCATTTAGTCTGGTCAGAGGGAAATCAATTCCCCTCCTCTCCCGTACGTGCATCACAGTCCGCACCTGTCTGCTTTTACACTCTGGGCTAACCCAGATACCCCATGGTGGCCTCATTGGCCACGCATTGACCTTGTGCAGAGCCCCCATGCACGGCAAGGCTGCGGGTGGAAGCCTGGTTGACATGCAGCGGTGGGGTAGAAGCTCGGACCACAGTGGGTGTCGTGTGATAGAAGTCGAGCACAAGGGTTAGGTTCACACATTACCGAGGTGTGCTTTGGGTTGTGTATTCCTTGAAATACCAGCTGCCTTCCTCACTCGCGCACGCACATGTGAGACCGGCATCCATCTCTGAATCAGAGGCTCCATGGTGTGAGGTGCATCCTCCATCCTCACCGCTGCCTCTTGCGAGCTCCCCCCCCTCTTAAACATTACCACAAACCAATATGATTGCTCAGTCTTAACAATGTCGGCACTGTTACTGCCACAAACAATACAAAAACATGATAGTACAAAGTACAAGAAAGAAAACAAATACAATTAAACCATCTCCATCCTATCAGGCAAACACCACTGAGTTATTAACTTATTTTTCAAATGCGACCTGGTCACAAAATTATAGCTCAACAAAGTGGCTTATCATTTGGACATTTATAGCAGCAAATTAATCTAAGTAATCTCAACGCGTGTTTCTAAATGTGGAGGGAAAAGCCGGACGACCTGTAGAAAAATAAAATCCACGCGACCACGGGGAGAACATGCAAATTCCAAATATACAGGCGTCGAGAGTTGGGAACGAACCCCTGACTTGCATACCAGGCAAGGATTCATTTCTGGCTACAAGCGGGTGCCGTCTGCTGGAAAGTCGTCGATGACCACTCTACAAAGCATTGTAAGGCCATCCTGAGCTTTTTCCTTCGCCCCCAAAATCCCAAATGTAAAATCGTGGACATCAAAAATTTACACAGTTATTTTGCGTGTACAAATCGTTTGTACCAATAGCGGTTTACTTATACAGAGCATGATGAGCATTATAGCCACAAGAAGCTATGCCACAGGTTTCACCTGCACACTACCCCACTTTGGTAAAACCAGCAAGATTTGACGTGTTGAAATCAAGGACTCGGTGAGCTATTGCAACTGCCTAAATAGAGCAAAAAACCAGGAGAATTCATCTCTGGTTTAACCTGAGAATCTCAAGAATGTGCCAATGAGGCCGTGAGTAATTGAGAGGCACAAGTGAGGTTCTGCGCTGGTGGTAGTTACGTGGAACCCTCGACTAGGCCATTTATGTTGCACGAGACACCACCAGGCCAAGACCTCCAATGCTGTCATGATAGTGACTGGGGAAGGCGAATTGTGTAGTAAAGCCGCCCTCATGGCTTATGTAGTGACATCACTGTTATCATGGCACACGTTATTATACATTGTCACTGTATTTACATCAGTGCAGTGCTATGCTGAAGCACCTGATTGCATTTTTTACAGTTTTTTTTCTTATCATTAACGATCGATCAAACTCGTGATGGACAGCCTGGGACGTAGACTTGAGTGCATAGGTACAAAGTAAGATGTTTTTTTTTCCTCATTGCATCATTAAAGGACGCAGGGCAACATTTAGCTATGAACACCAAAATGCACTGCTGGGAGGTTTGAGCCGCTGGTGACATCACACTGGTGGGCAGGGTGTGGTCATTTGCGTTGGCTTTCATCGAGGTTCACAGTGGCCGTTCTGGGGGCATCAGGGCACTTGTAGTGGTGTCCGTGCTGCCTCTAACTTTGCCGCCCATTCAAACCCTCGCACCTTATCACCACTCACTGGGGTTGCGGTCCTGTCTACGAACGTTCTGGTTGCCACAGCAACGGCATTCGCGGTGGCGCTGCAGTGTCTCGCTCGCTTGCGGCTGGAGCACGGCTTGGTGGGAGGAGTCGAGGTGTGACTTTAGGGCAGCATCTTTGCTGCCAGATTCTCTGCATCCTTGCTGCCTGGAACCCGTAGGTGTTGTCTTAGGCAGCATTCTGCCTGCCATATCCTGGTGGGGTAAAGAAAGGGAATGAGGAGTGAGGGTGGCATCGACGGCAGCCAGGTGGCCCGTCGGGACCCCACCCACCAAACCCCCACTGTCTCTCCTTTAAAAGGGTTTATTTTAGAGCTGGGCTCTGGGCCAGGCTGCTGAGGCAGTCAGCCTTCATCCCACAGAAAGAAAAAAAAATACACGTAATCGAAGCTGTTTTATTTCCTTTAAAAAAAAAAGTTGTCAAATAGAATTTTACAAAGTGGTAATTTTTGCGACCAGGTGCCCATTTGGGTAAAAACAAAAATGTCAAATGCTGGCGATGCCCAGTGCTGGGTGATTTTTGGTGCCGTCCTAATTTTCCTCCCGATGGCGGTGGATGAAAACATCGTGGTGCATGTAGCCGTGCCCGTCACACGATGACGCAGGCATCGTGACGACAGCGTGGATGCGGGGGGCCATACAGGGGGCCCCCTTCATGGCCTTGTCCTGCCGTGGAGGCCCTTTCCGTCTGCTCCTCTTAATTAGCTCGCCACCGTGTTAATTATTTCATGAGCCACACACACGGCGTGTTGGCACGCGGGTTTTCCAGCCCGTGCGTGTCTTCGTACGTGTGTGCTCGTTGGCCTGCTTGCCGATTTGTGCATGTCTCTAAGCGCGTGTGCGTGCGCCGTTGTATGCCTGTGTGTGTGCGCACGCACGCGTGTGTATCCATGTGTGTATCAGTGTATGTGTCTGTGCGTATGTGAGTTGTCTCTGCCTGCTTGTTTCAGCGTGCATGGCAGATTGGCAAAGGGGGGAGGGGGTGAAGTGGGGCAGGCGAGGGGTGGGGGCGCCGAGCTCGAGTTGGCATTGCTGCCAGTCCATCGTGACTGCCAACGCTCCGAGCGCGTGCTCCTGCATTTTTAAAAGCTGCTGCTGCCACCCCATGCCTGCCAAACCTTACCGCCCCGGCCCCCCCATGCCCCCCCCCCCCCCCCCCCCGCTCACGCTGGGCGTCCACCCTCCAACCCCGCAATTACTTCCCAAGCTGCTCTAGTTGCGATCGAGTTGGCGGCGGAATGTACAGTGTGCTTTCTGCCGTCAGCGGGCTCTCGGCCGGGACGCGGCCGTGACTGTACGGGCCCCGGCAGCTGACGGGAGACGCTAATATCCTTGGCCGCCTTTCAAAAGGGAACGAACGCTCCCTGCTAAACGGCCTGGGACTGGAGGGGCGAGGGCGCCGGCGGGTGTGTGTCCGCCCGCCCGCTCGTGTGCGTGCGTGCGTGCGTCTCGCCTTTACGTCTGCTTCCATGCTTGTTGTTTCACGGAATTGGGCAGCGAGCAGGGGTGGGGGGGGGGCCGTGGTTGTTTGTGATGTTTTCCATTATTTTGGATTTATTTTCTTGGCCCTGTTTTTGTTTCTTGTTTACGTTTTATTTCATCCAAGCAGGGTAGAGGAAGCGGTTTTTTTAGGTAGAGTCTGAGCCTGCTGCCAAGCGCCGTGGTTTGGCCGGGTTAGGAAGGCCCCGTCAAGGGGAATAGGAGCTCTGTTTTCCACGAGAGGTAGAGGAGACCGGGGGCGGAGAGGAGGGGGCGCTGTCGCAGCAGCTAGCGCCGCGGTGTAGGCTTGCGCCCGGCGGCATCGAGCCGTGCTGGTGAGCGTACGCCATGCTCCCCGGCTCGCCCTGGTTTTATCCAGACTCGCTCGCCATCCCGTTTGCAGTGCGCTGCCATCCTCTTTTCCCGGTCACGATTGATCCCTCCCTGCCTGCACGCCGATTCAGGCGACTCGTTGGCAAGCCGTCAGCACGGCAGAGCGCAGGGACGGGGCATGCTGCATGTGTGTGCGCGCGCGTGCATGTGCGTGTACGTGTGCGTGCGGTTTCGCACACGACGTGGATGCTTTTGCTTCGCGCCGTCTGCATACAAGCTGCGTGCGGCCATGTTGGATCGCGCCAGCTCGGGGTGACGGGATTTTGGCCGCCCGGTTTGGGGGACTGCGACCCCCACCGCATGCATAAATGCACCTCCCCAATAAAGTGGGAGGATAAAAAAGGGGAGGGGGGGGGGAGAGGCGGCTGGCACGGGACACCCAGGATCTGTAGGCCCCGTCCTGGCACAGGATCTTCTGGAAGAATCGCGGTATGTGTGGACTCGCGTCTGCGCCCTGGCTCTCCTCCTGCCCCGGCCATTTTTCCCTCTTTCTCTTCGCGTCTCCGTGTCCGATTCGTACTGCTCCGCTCGCTTATCCGTCTGCTTGCTCGCCCGGCTGCTCGCCCGGCTGCTCACCCGCTCGCCCTTATGTACGTTCCGGAGTTTATGGAGAGGCATTTAATATTTTCTTGCAATTTTTTAAATATTTTCTTTTCTTTCGTTTGATGTCCGTCGTGTTTTTATTGCCGTGTGCCGGATTCCGGCCGTGGATCATGTCGCCGAGCCGCAAAGCGATCGCTCTCACAGTTAAGATGGCCGCTGTGTTCTTGCACAGCCGCTCTCCTTGTTGCGGCACTATGTCCGCTACCTTAATTTTAAATTTACGTCAAGAAAAGTACATAGAGGATTAAGGAATTATTATCCTTTTCATTATTTTTCTGGTGGTAATTGTTTTTGTTTTGTGGCACTAAGCCGGATACGTGACTAAAAATGCTTTCGGTAAAGGCGAGCACGGTGGTTGCGTAACGTGTGCCGCACGTTGTTTCGGAGACGGGTGGGATCGGTGCGCTCCTGATGGCGAGGTCCACACTGCGTTCAACCACAATTGCCTTGCTTGGCCGTGATGCTACCAAATCCTGATTTTACAGAAAATTGGAATTAAACAAACCCGCGAATAGATGTGAGTTTATGCTGGATTTGGTGGGAGGATATGCCTGTGTTTGAGAGAAATACGGCAAGGCCCTGGCTAAATCGACTTATTCAGGCCATGATAGTGAGAAATAAAAACAATTGAGCTGGGCGTTGTTCGGTGCCCATGGAGGGCCGGCGAAAGTGGCGCTCATCAGTCCCAGCAGCCCTGACCTGGCTCCGCCTCTCACCATGAGCAGTGTGCGCTCGAAATGGCGCTGGCTGCCTTTCTCCAGTCGCCGTAGCTAACACAGCGGTGCCTGTTCCCTCTCTCTATCGCCCCCCCCACCCCTGCATGGTGCACGCTGCAGGGCTGAGCCAGGGTAGCGGCGGCTCCCAGCGCGAGGGCTCGCCTCCGTGGGGGTCCCCGTCCTCCCTGTCATCCCAGGGGGAGGGGGAGCCCAGCCTGCGCACCGTCTGGGAGTCTGTGATCGTGGACGGCTCGGACCGCGAGGCCTGGCCGGCCCTCTCTCCCCAAGACGCGGCGGCTCCCGGAGACGGCAAGCAGCAGCCGGTTCCGGCCGACACCACAACAGCTGTTACCACGACTTCTACAGCGTCGGCGACAGTGACCTCGGAGCGCGTCGCCATGGAGCGGCGCAGTGACACGGGCCACTGGGATGCATGGGATTCCGCCAATGCCGGTCCCTCTGACCCTGCCATGTGGACTGCCCCCACTGGGTTCAGTAGTCGCCACGGCTACAGCCTCAATGGACGCAATGAGCACCGAGAGAAGGGCCGGCCAGATGGGCCTGGGCGGCTCTTCTCTAGCGATGCGTGGGAAAGGCCACAGGCTCGCGGCTTAGACGGCGTCGAGGGGCCTGGTCCATCATCGTGGCGCCCGGGCAGTGAGGCCGAGCTGAGCTCCGGCTGGGGGGCAACAGAAGCCAGCTCCGCCACCACCCCCTGGAGTCAGCAGCAGCAGAAACAGCCATACAGCGCGACTGGACAGGGGGACGGCAGTGATGAAGACGACGACGATGATGATGATAATGGCAACGTGAAGCCAGAGGTGGAAGGGACGCAGGTAAAAGCGGAGGGTGCGGCTGCCGCCACATGGCCTGGACAGGGCTGGGCTTCAGAGCCATGCCCGGCCGGTACTGTGCAGGGCAAAGATCCTGGCGAGGAAGTGGGGTCGGTGACGGCGGCGGAACAACCCTCCGATGCGCTGGTGCCCTCCCGGGACTATGACCCCCGCGTGCTCTCTAACCTGGGCTGGGGTCAGACCCCCGTGAAGCAGAACGCTGCTTGGGAAGCCGAGGAGCTGGAGAGGAGCCAACAGGACGCAGGCGGCTGGAAAAGCCCGGATGAGGGCCCGTCAGGCCCTCTGGGACACGCTGGTGGGACCGGGGGTGGTTGGGATGAGGGAGGCGGGAGCGGAAGGGGCCCTGCCTGGGAGGAGAGCAATTGGCGGGGTGAGCGAGGTGAACGGGGTGGATGGACGGGAGGAAATGGCGGTGGTGGCCGTGGTGGCGGTGGTGGCTACCCTGGTGCGAGCAGTGGTGGTAGTAGCCGTGACAGCCCTAGTTGGGACTCGGAGTCTAAGACAGTCGCGGCGAGTGTCTACGGCGCCAGAGGCCGGCAGCAGCGGCCCGGCTGGGGTGCATCTGGTCCCACCTCCGCTCCCTCTGGGAACTGGGCTCAGGACTGGGAGAACCGGCAAGGTGGCGGCAGTGGTGGTGGCGGCGGCGGCAGCGGTGTTTGGGATGGAGGGGAAGACCGCGAGGTCCTGGGTGGCGGTGGAGGCGTCATCCCCAGCGGCGTGGTGGGTATGGGGAACAGTCCCTCCGGCCAGGGCTGGGGGGAGGTGGAGGGGGCCACCTGGAGGCCCCCCGGCAGCTGGGAGGAGTCACCGGCAGATTCTCTACGACGCCGGCCTGCGGTGGACGATGGGACGTCTGCTTGGGGTGACCCAGACGCTTACAACTATAAGCCGGTGAACATGTGGGGAGGCCGTGGGGAGGCCGGGCTGCCCGGTGGTGCCAAGCAGGACCCACAGCGGCGCTCGCCTATTCCCGGCGCAGGTAAAGCCCCACACTGCGCGCGCACCCCCTTCCTGTATCGCAAAGTTGGACTAAAATGAAGAGTGAGGGAAAATGAAAGGGGCTAAGTCATGATGCCAGGTCATTGTTACCATTCGGCTCGGGCTAATAACGAGAGTGCAAATGTTTAAACGGCAAATGTGATTGGCCAATTTTGGATCTTTTTAAAGAAAGGGTTGACTGCTTGATTGGGGCTAATATTTGGATGGTTATGGGTTTGGTTGCCACTAACGATGGCATAATTTTTAGTTTTTCGCTTTTTTGGTTTGAAACCGAACCCATACCAAAGTAGAGTCGTGTGAGCGATTACACAACGCCACGTACAATTCGTGCGAGTTAACTAGAGTTCTCTACTAAGACCATTAGGTGGTGGTTATCCACTGCAGTTTGCACTTCAATGCCCCGAGCATCCTGATACCTCATTTTCTGGGTGATCATTGTTTTGCTTTTTACATTTTATAGAACTCATCAGCAAAGCAGGCTTGAAATGCTCAGCTGAGGAACAATGTGGACGATGTAACCTGGGATACATTTTATAGCATGCAGAAATAACTGGGAAAAGAGCACTTAAAAGCGTGTTGTGCTGTGGGGGGATGAGAGAACGCCAGATGCCTTGTCTCTGGAATTAAGCCATAATTCTTAATTTGTGCATGCCCACTCCATAGCCTAGAACCTGCTGTCCTGAAGATCGAGATCCCAATCGCGAAACCCCCTCTGTGGCCCTGAGTCTCAAAACATTAGGCCTCAAGCCTGCTCCACTAATTTCAAGATTTTATAAGTGAATGCACATTTTGGGAGTTTTAACTTACGTTACATGGTTTATGTTATCGGTGATGGGGTGCGACTAAAACAAAACAATCTACTTTCTATTTTTCTCTTCCAGGACCCAGGATGCGGCGTGATGGTTGGGAAGGCCCAGGGGGTGGCCCCCGCGCCGGAGGTACCGGGGGGCCGCGAGGCTCGAGCTGGGACGAAGACGAGGCCGAGATCGGCGTGTGGGGAGGTGGCAGTGATGGTGGTGGCCATGACCCGGGTTTCCACTACCAGGGTTCGTCGGGGTGGGGTGGCCGCAGAGCTCCTCCACACCGGGTAACGACCTCGAGCACATGTGCAGCTCCCACGTGTTGTTGATGACGCCGTGTAACCATTATTATAACCACACTGTAACACGTAAACTATGCCGTGAAACGCGTTAACCATTCCGTATAACGCGCTTCAACCACTCGCCATAACACGTGTTAATCACAGCATAGCATACATCAACCACTCACCGTACCACATTTTAACCTCATAGTACACATTAATTGCATGATTTAATGCATGTTAACCACACGGTGTAAGACACATTAACCAAACTGTGTTAACCACAATGTGTAATTCGTGTTTACTGCACCTTGTAACTCATTACACTTTGTAACCCACACAAACTAAGGAGTGCAACACTTGTGAACCATACCGCGTAACACACGTTAACCGTGCCACATCACTCGCATAAAGCACTCCCGTGATTGTGTTTCTGAATCCGGGCGTGTGTGTTTGTGTACGGGGATGTGTACTGGTGTGTCTAGGGTCCTCCGCGGGGCATGAATCGCCATGACGATGTGAGGATGCAGAGACTCACTCGGCAACTCATGGACATGGGCTTCCCCGTGAGTCCCACGCATGCTTTGACCTTTTAGCTTTGAATAAAAAAATAACCTCAATACTTAACTTGATTACCCATGTCTCTCATGCAGCAAGAGCCACTGAGACTCATTCATCACAACAGCCTGTCACCTGTTTGTATAAAGACTCTCGGATATGGGACAGACTGTTTTGACGCTTGGCTCTGTAAGATCATATTTGAATATCATTCTTGAGTCTCTTAACATGAAAACATTCTAACAACGGTTACCTCTCAGCTGCACATGTAGAAATCTCTCGGTAAATTAACATGACCGTTTTTCTTCTAACTAGGACATTTAAAGCAGCTGCCTTAGTGGTGTTATTCTTATCACACTGGGCTTTCAAATCCGGAGATCATCGGTTTGATTCGATATCCCGGCATGGCAGTTGACCTAATGGTACAACTGATGGTTCCCAGTTTGAATGGTTAAACACCACAGTTACTCCAGGCAGATGACGTGCGGTGGGGTTAAAATACAGGTACTCCGGCCTCGTCCAAAAAATCTGATCAGCATGGAAGTACACTAGAGCTTCCTCCAGTGGAGAACCTTCCACCAGCAGTGATATGAGCAAGCAAGCAATTGTACAGTTGAAGATTTCCCACAGGGCAATCGTTGCTTTGATACCATCATGAGGAGAGACGTGTGGCTCAATGCCAATCACTCTGGTGAATGATGAGGGGACAAGATGGTAAGTCGGAGCGCATGCCCCCTTCTTACCGTGGGCACCAGCTAATGTTTGTAGTGACGTTTGTTTCCTGCGCCTGCAGCGAGACCCGGCAGAGGAAGCTCTCAAGACGAACAGCATGAACCTAGATATGGCGCTGAGTGAGTATTCCAATTCCTATTCCACCGTGTATGAACTCTGGTGACAGTGCTGAGGAAGAGGGGCCTGTAGATAATAAATAAATGCATGGCTTTGTGTGATAATGGTTTTTGTTAAGTAAAGCAGCTGTAGACCCAGCACATGCTGGTGTGTGGAAATTAGTTTCTTTAATTAACATCTCGCCATCGGGGTACTGCGCTGGTGAGATGTTAACTCCGTCGCCTGGTATGAAGGATGTGGGTTCGATCTCGACCCTGGCGCCTGTATATTTGGAGTTTGCATGTTCTTCCTGTGGTTGCATGGATTTTTTTTTGGGTTCTCCAGTTTTTCCCTCCACATTGAGAAAAATATGTTTTGGGTATTTGGCTGGTATGAATTTCCACACGATAAGCCCCTTTGTTGAGCTAACATTTGTGGCCGGGTTGCTTCTGAAAATAGCTCTCGATCCATGGGCCTTTCCTGCTAAAAATGTTTTTTTAAAATAGTTTAAAATTGTTTGCATAGTCAAACAACCACTACTCTCGAGTTGAGGATGCCACCATCCAGCAGTGGCTTGAGAAAGTTAATATGAATTTTTATTTTATTGTAATGTTTTTTTTGTTGTGCACTCGATGCAGGTGCGCTACTCGACCGGAAAGCCGATGGTACTAAACGCGGCAGTGTTGACTTCAGCAAGTTTGGGCCGCGACACCCGCTGGCCAAGGAGGCTCCCCTCGATCGCTCTGCCTTCTTCCCAGACAAGGTATGATCGTCGGGATGCCCCCCTTCGCCTCTCTTGCCGCTAATCTTGCTGCTCAAACAAATGCGCGCGAATGCGTGCAAATAAAATTCACGCATTCCAATTGTGGTCGTCTGTGCTCCGCTTCTCACTTATAACCTCCAGTCCCACTTTTCCTTTTACCCTTGTCTGCCCCCTCCCATCCCTCCCCCAGGGTTCTGGCTTGTTCGGTGGGGGGTGCAATGTCCCCCCATCCCGCGGAATGGGCCACGGCCCTTCCCCTGCACAGCTGAGGGCTCAGGCGCCGCCCCCATTTGTCAACCCGCAGGTGCATGGCTGGGGAAGGGTGTGGGGTGGACAGGGGGGATCATTGGCACGGCGCGTGGTGGTGAGGCTGCCGCAAATGTTTTGCTGCGTTGGTAGTATGTGCTTGGTCTGTCCATTTACAAACTGCTGACTGGTGGTTATTGCTGCTGCTTTGTGCTCCATGTAGGTGCCTGCAGCCCAACTCTTGCAGTACGCCATGAAGAACAGCGGACTGAACCCCGCACTTCTGCCCCAGGTGACGCCGCAGACTCTCGCCTCGTTCAGCCAGCTCAACCAGCTGCAGCTCGTGAGTGTCCAGCAGCACTACCAGCAGCACCACCAGCAGCAGTCACAGCAGCACCAAGAGCAAATGTGTTACCAGCAGCAGATGTAGTGCCGGCAAAGGCAGTAGCACAAACAAGCTGCAGTAGAAGCCACAATAAGCATTAACAACAACCTTAGTACTCATTTGAAACACACCTGTCTGTGTCAAGTACTTTGGAGGAAATGCTTGGTAGATTATTAAGACGTGTGTGACTTCCAAAGCTGTGGGGTTGCTCGGTGGCCATTAATGGTCGAACAGCAAGTGGGGGTTGATCTATTCTGTGTTCACTTTTTAAAATTTTCTCCGGGTTATATGTTTATATTGGCACCCGTGTGTGTATCCGTCAGTTGAAGCTTGGCTTTGCCCCATCCATGTACTCTGGTTTCATCCCACTTGCAAAACTCCAGAAAGTGGAATTGAGTAAACATCGTAATGCAGGCTGCTTTGGGGAATTTGAAAAAAACAGCTCTTAGACCTTTCTATAGAAATAAAATAAATATGTATTACTTTAATAAAGAATTAAGTAATGTAATGTATTACTTTCCCCAAAGTGCCTCCATCCACTCATCGTCTTGATTGAGCTTCGATTAAACATTGTTGTACACGTCGGTTATGAACATTTTGATGAAAATAATACAAATTAAATGAAATTTGGAAAATTGCGTAATTATCCGAAATTATGTTAATTGATGTAATTATGCTAATTCAAGATATAATCGTATTAATTTATGTGAGTTGGTGTGATTATGCTAATGCAAGCCGTTATGATAATTAGGCCCCGCCTCGCTGACGAGGGTCGGGTTATCAATCGGGATCATACAATTAATCGTATGAAGTTATACCAGTGTGATGCGAGTATGCCAGAGTAGCTCCGCTTTATTGTTTAGGTCCGTATTAACGCTTGGTAATACAATTATTCTCGCTTTAACATTTACTGAGTGTATTAGTGTGTTTGTCAGGTCTCCAAATTCAGATCTCAACGCAGAAATACAGTTCTTGTAAATAAGATTATTATGCATGAAACAGGAAGGAAACACACCAAACTTCTGTGTTTAAGCAATTTATTCTAAATGAAACCTTAACTCTAATATAATATGCGAACTCTCAATCTTGGAATTTTCAACACAGTATCGATACAGTAAACATCAACGATTGCGTTGTTTCACTTTGGCAACGGCACATGTGATTAATTCCACCGCGTAACGCGAGCTTAGTTGGTGAGAGAGTCGTTAAAACATGCATGCTATTCTACACAAAAACCTTAACCCTAAAATATGCAAATTCGTATACTTGAAATTGGCAACACAGTACTGCACTCATGAATCCGTATGCAACCCTCAATGCAAATTCTTATCACGTTGTTACTGGGTATCAGAGTAATTGATTTTTATGCAGTGTAACATGAGCACGTGCGGCAATTATGAACGAAAGGTCCTTAAAAATTATGCGAAGATATTCATACGAAAAGGCAATCAAAACAGTTATTATTCCCAAAGGCACCAATATACGTCAATAGATTCATCAGCAAGATTATGCCATTAAAAGAAAACGAACAACTGAAATACTTCTAAATAACCGTATCCACGTAACTCAATGGGTAGCAATGTTCTTCAGGATTAGTTGATATTTAACGCCCCACCTTGGAATGGCAACCCTTCTTGAAACACAAAGATAACTTTTTGGAACAATCTTATTTGTCCCGATATGCGTGTTGTGTGTCTTCTTTGCCACTTGTTCAATTCTTTGCGTAAAGCAGATGCCAAGGTTGGGCATCCCTTGTATCAAAAATGTGTTTGTTCCCTGTGGAGCGGTGGGGGTGTGAGGGTGTGTGTATCATACGGACAGCTTGGCACTCCCTCTTTCACACGGGCGGCCACAGTTTCTGTCCCTGGAAGAGTCGGCACGACGCTCGCTATCGGTGCGCGATGATCTGTCGTCAGATAGCGCCCGCAGCCCGTCCGCTGGTCGCCGTTCCTCACTCTTGTCTTGGTTACCCTCTGGTGCTGGTCGGTGTAAGTGTGGGTCGAACCCACAGCGCTCTCGCTGGCGCTGACACTCTTGCTCACGAGCGGCTGGTGAGGCTCTTTCCACTGCTGCATGAGCCAAGTCGGCACACGCTTGGCCGCTGGCAGCAGACGCTCTTGCTTGGTGGCGCTGTTGCGCTGCAGCTGGAAGCTGGCACTCGATGTAGAAATTAAAGTCTTTGAGCGATACTTCGTCTTTCAGCTCTGAACTCACGCTCGGTGGCACATCGCTAGTGGACGAGCCTCGCCATCCTCGGTTGATCGCGGGGCCACCCCGGGCCTGCCGCTCGCCGCCCTCTTCTGTAGCTCCTGAGCTGATGAGCTGAAACTGTGTATCGTGCTGCTGTTATATCTGAAAATCTCCGCTCTGCGTTGGTGGGGGTGGGGGTGTGTCCGTGTGTGCGTGTGTGTGTGTGTTTGTGTGTGTCATTTTATTACATTGATCACCATCCCCTCCTCAAGCCATCCCTTCATCCGTGGGATACAGATGGCTCCCCCTTGCAACAATAGTGGAATTTCCCTGCTGTGATGTTACATTCCTTTCTTGTGCTGCGGGAAGACAAAGGCGGCCGAGAGGTTCTGATTTCATGGAATACTTTATCTGGTCTTTGTGTGTTAGACCTATTTCTTGTACCTCTACTGAATTACCCCAGTTCTAATCTCTTGTGATTATTATTTGGTTTATGTTTAACCAAGATTTGTAATGTACCATTTAGATGTTACCATCATGATTCCGGGCTTTGCTAAGCTTTGTTCTCAGTTCGTGTCGCCATGGGTCGGTGTTTATTCGCGAGTTATTTCCGATATCCGGAGGTTGGATATATAGCTTAGTTTGGACTTAAGCTTTCATGATTGCAGGAACTCATGTACTTTGGTTCTCTTGGTAAAGTCACGTAGGTAGAAGATGCAATAAGAAACAATACGCGAGTTGAATAAGGGTGAAATAAAGTAAGTAATAATGAAGCCACTAATATTCTTATAGCCAAGCTTTAACTTTTTCCATGAAGGAAAAAAAATATCAGTTATAATGTTTGTTTGCCCTGTGCTCTGTGTCCGTGTCTGTGATTCTGGGTATTTATTTGTGAACCGTTCTTTGGCGATCTGGAGATTCGCAGATCGTCGTAACCTCTCTTTGACCCGGAGTTTATTATTTATTTATTTTAAAATGCCCTTTTTACAATCTCCATCTGCTGTTTACTGGGATGAGGTAGCTTGCCGGTTCAAGGGTGCTATTATTTATCGACTATTTAAAAAAATATCGCCAAATATTATTGATATTAATTGTGGAAAAGGGGGCCGTATACAACAACATGACAGCTGTTGTGGTTAGTTGTGGTTAGTGGCTGAAAACTTGTGTTTGGAGTCGGGGGGGGGGGGTTGTGTGGTGGTTTGTGGTTGATGGCATATGCCTGATAATTGCCGTGTGGCTGTCTTGGATGACTGGTGTGTGGTTGCCTAATGGTTTATGAATGAGCTGCCTTGGGAATGTGCACTTGACAAACATTTTAGCTCTCCCCCAACGTAGTTCCGTGATTTGTCACTATTGGCTTCATGAGTTGTTTTTTTTGTCTCCTACATAGAGTTACATTCATTCTTTTATCCAAAAGGCCACATTTACATATCATTTCCACAAATTGTAAAATACAGTAGTCTTTCGATTATCCGCACTAATGACGGGGAAGACGGCCGCGAATAACTCAAAATTGTGGATAATCTAAAAATATCCATTTTCCGTGGATCTCTATGCCAAACACCACTAATATAGGTATAAATTATGTTTTAGTAGGATAGCAGCGCCACCCCAATCAAAATCAATCAAACTCCGCCCACAATCTCAGGTGTGCGGTTTATCCTATTTGCGGATTAACCGCATGCGGATAATCGACAGTCTACTTACTGTACGTATAAAATTACTACACAAGATTGGATATGTAAAAGTGAGCACGAGAACCCGTTGTAATTTAATTGTTGCGTAGCAACTCTGATGTGCACACATTTGGCACATCGGTGAAAGGGCAGAAGTTGTGGCCCATTGTTTTTTTTGTGATTAGTTGCTTACTTAATGTTTTTGGTGGTTGGTTCATTCATTAGTTGGTGATGAGGAGTGACTCGATTGGTGGTTTTAAGTTGGTTGGTGCCTGATTTTTTGGTGATGCGTTGGGTAACCGTGTAGCTGTGCATCAATCCATCAGTTAAAGTGACGACTTGTGTTTATGACAAGTGTATCAAATCATACGGCAGATAATTGTTTACTCTACAATTTATACAAATTATGGTACATTTCATTGAGCATGCAGGAACTGTAGATACTATATGGAGCATCGAAGACTTGCAAATGAGACGGTAGAAACAAAATAAAAGTTGGTATTTTTTAATGAAGTCGCAACTTCAAATCGTAACATTTCATTGAGTTGTGAAGGCTGTGGATGAATTGACACGTGCCTATTGGGTTGGGAGGTGGGAGTCGAGTTGATCTTACTTTGTTTAACCATGTGAGAACGCTTCAAACCAGTATAGTATTATTTTTAAGAGTGACCTGGACCACCGAGATGACAAAAGGGAATAGAACAATATGGCAAGAAAAATAATAATAAAACGAAATTGGAGAGAACAATTGCATTATAGGAGAATTACTCCACATATATCTGTTAAATAAAATAAACATTCCAGGAGGTGCTTATGGTGTTTGTGTTGGGCTGTTCGTGCATCTCAATTTGTATTGGCGTCTTCTCCACTGTCTGTGCTCTGTCCAGCAGGCGTATCAGCAGCTGCTGCTGCAGCAGTGCCCGCGTCCTCCCGGTGCTGCCTTCCGCCACCAAGAGCAGCAGGTACTGCACACACACAGACACACGCAGAGACACACATACACAGGTCCTTGCCGTGTATCCTAACAGACATGCATATACACTTGAGCAAATGCGTTCATCCAGACGCAGACAAAGGTTATCTGTCCAGCCTACATAGACTGTTGGGGACAAGTGCTATTTGCGAGTACTTAACACCTGTCAAAGCCATCGTAGCAAACAAGAGGGTGGAGTGACGAGCACCACTCTCGCGGACACGGTGCTGACATTCACGCCACACAAGACACTCGTTTAGGGCTTGGTCAACCTTGGCGAGACTCGGAACATGCTGACGATTTCCCTTTTTCAGTCATTAAACCCAGGTTTCTAGGTGTGCAACGCAGTGAGCTGACCAGTCGCTGTGTCATTCTGCGTACCACACAAACACGCATACACAACCAATAGCCCCCAATGCGTCTTTATACAATGTAGAGACTCGTGCTGTTAGCAAGTGCCTGTCAAGGCCGGGACATCGATTGAGTTGGTGGTGTCACATGCACCATGCCTGCGACCGAACATTTAGAGTCCATGCCCCTCCCTTCCGTCTGTGTTGTGTGTGCAGGTGTCGCGCAACATCAGCGCCATGCAGCAGCAGCAGATTCAGCAGCGGCAGCTAGCGCAGCTCTTGGGCGGCCGTCCTCCTGGTCCTCCTCCAGGACCCGCTCACGGCCCCCCAGCCTCCTCCAAACCCCCACCCCCCCTGGATGGCCTTTCTCCTACTTCTCTTCTCGACCCCTCAGCCTTTCCCATGCACCCAGGATCAGAAGGTCAAAGGTCTCCAGCGTTTCAGACGCCTCATGGCCTACCCTTTATACCCGGCAATGTCATGGGGGCTGGGCCGGGTCCGATGGGGGGAGGCTCAGGGGTGATGGGCGGTCCTGGGGTGATGGGGGGAGGCATGGGTGTGATGCCGGGGGGAGGAGCTCCCTATGGGCGGGGGCCCAGCCTTGGGTCACCTGGACGGCGGAAGAGCTGGAGACAGGGACAGCCACCAGGAGATCGCAGGGGTACGCATTCACATGCAGGCACTAGCACACACTCCTTAACGCATGCACACACAATTTAACACAACACATACAGATGCATGCGAACACAAGCACGAACATTCAGATACACACTAAAAAGTGTGCTGTACAAATACTAGCATTCTCATGCATACAGACATGCAGAACCATACAATCACAATGATGCATATTCATGGATTTATACAGAAACCACCTAACAAATTCACATTAGTGATTCTGTTAAGTGTATAAACACATTAGTATGTTGATTATTTTCTAAGGTTACAGTTTTCTCTCAAGTGCTATTATTCCAAATTGCCCAGTGGTGAATGTCCTTTTTGTTGCTTTCATGCTTCCATTGTTTATTAGGACACCTTGAATCCCTTTTGTATTTTTTTCCAAGACCTCTATTCTCATTATTTTCGGAATGGTTTTACAGAGTTTAGTGTATGCCACCTTCACTGCGTTGCTACAAGTTCCGTTTGAACTGCAGGTAGGGTCTCACTCTTTTCTCCCCCTTGTTGCCTCGGCGCACCCCCAGCCTTCTCCTCCTCGCTGGGCGTGGGTGATTTCGGCGGGCCGTTGCCAGGGGGGCCGGCATCTGTGGCCGTGGGGAGCTCCCCGCGGGATGGCATGCAGCCCGGGCAGTCACGCCTACGCCGCTGGACCCTGCCTCACAGCCTGGACGGCTCTGGGGATGGGGGTCCCTCCATGGACCACGGCACTCCCTGCAAACATGGTGAGCGAGCACTGCGGGACAGCCTGGGTGACGACACGGTGTGAGCGACCTTGAGCAAAGGTGATGATGGGTCACCAACATGTGAATGTGTCCACTTACTCACATTGTCATCTGCATTAATTTAAAGGGAAAAATGGTTACCCTCAGCCACACACAATTTCTTAAAACCATGCGTGGTAAACTCCGCCTTTCGGGCAAAAGCAACTCCATATAACAGCCTTGCCTGTCTCACCGCTCTCCCGTCCTCTCACCCGCCGCCCCAGACTCTCCGCTGGATGACTCTCCCTTTGACCCCTACGACCTCTCGCCCTGCCGGGATATGACATCCGACCCCTCGGAGTGCTGGTCAAGCTCGAAGGCGCCTGGAGAGAAGGTGTCAAACGGAGCGAGCTCGGGGAGCTGGCCGCCCGGTATGCTGCACTCTCATTATCCCTGGGTGAAGCGGGCAGACCCAGTGAGAGAGCCGCCTCCTCAGTGGATTGGTTCGCTCAGCTTGTTGTTGCCTGCTCTGTTCATTTCCTTGTTTTCTTCCTCCACACACAGAGTTCCACCCTGGGGAGCCCTGGAAGGGACTACAGAGCCCTGAGGATAGCCTTGACCCCAGTGATACCGGTGACCCCAGCACCCTGACCTCCAGCAGCCAGGCCGACCGCTGCATGTTCCCAAGCGTCAGCTCCGGTCAGTAGACGGTCTCGCGCTGTGATGCAATCCGATACGTAGTAGGAATGAAGCTGAATTATACGGCAATTACACTCTCACTCAATCCCTTGACTTGAGGACTCACGAGAAGTGGAGATGTACACTAACGGAGCCTTTTCTGATCCCTGATGTTCGCCTTCATTTAATTTGGCTTTGGAATTAAGGGCATCTATATTAAATGAACAACCCTTGCAAAATAAATTTACTTATTTACTTGAAGTTGATCATAATAATGAAAGCAAATATTTTTTTCTGTTGAAAAAAAATGGGAAAAGGCCCATAGCAAATAACAATTTAGGAGTGATAAGGGCAGGAAATGATCCTTAATAAAAATGTTGGATCTAAATATATATCTATTTTTAATCTTGAATCGTTTCCTTATGAAAATAAAACACACCTCTTGTCTGAGGCACTGTTTCACAACATGCAATGTCAGCAGAAACAATTTAAAAATACATGTTAATGAATATAGATTGTATTGCGGAAAATTCTCGCAAGAAATATTCGTTTGAACCCGTGACATCGTAACACTTCACACGCACAGCATCTCAACATCCAATCATGACGTGTGCCTCACCCATAATATTTAAAATGAGCTATTGCCTCTCTACCCTGGCCACCCTACCCGTACCCCGTCTATCCACCGGGGACCAGTGGCTGTAACAGCTGGCGGTCCCCCTGCCTCGCCCCCGCTGCCCCCCACCGCCCTGCCTTGCTCGAGTGCCTGGTCCCTGGGTGGGGGCTCCGCCTCTCCCAGTGTGTACCGGCGTGCGGCCTACGGGGGCGGCGGGGGCTCCCCCTCCGACCTGAGCGCCACAGGTAATGACGCTCACCTGTTGTAACAAGGACTTTGGGAGAATCGACACCGCCAAGCTGATAAAAAAAAACGGTTAAGAGTAGCCCTGGCGAAACATTGGAGGTGGTGGGGTAGGGTTGGTCAGTGAGGGTGGCGAGTACACAATAGTTTTTTTTGGGTTAGATCGCATGAATATAATGCATCGTTAAACCCGCCACCACTGTGGGTGGCCAAAGTCTATACGTTAAACTAATATTGTGCTGGTTGACTAGTTGGTTCGAGGTCAGTAGCACGGTTGGCTATGTACGGTGCAAAATAAGTTAAACATACATGCATTGAGGAGGAGAGCTCGTCATAGTGGGACAGCTAGTACTAGTGGCTGGTTGGCTGGTTGGTTATGGGTACGGGCTAGTTGTTTGGTTGGGAATTGTGCTTCACTCCCAAATAGCAAAATCAGGCATGTTTAGTTTTTGCCATCTTGTCACCTCTCTTGCTCACAGAGACCCCTGTTAACAGGGCAGTGGTTGGTTACAGGAGAGCCAAACTGCTGCTGCCTTCATTAGACCTCCTTTGCCAGTACCAAAATGTAATAATAGGGTTTTTCCCCTTTTTTCTGGCAACAAAACTGAAACCTTTTTTACAAGGATTCATGTCTGCATTAACCACAATACCTGCAGTCAAAATGTAAACAAAAAACATAGTATGATATCTGCATTGTCTTTGAAACTGATTGGCCCACACCAAGGGACGGCTTTCTGTTGAGCCTCGACCCAATTGGTGCTCGACCATATGACGCCAAAAGGCATACGCCCTTTGGCATACGCTCAAAAGAAAGCCGTCCCTTGGTGTGGACCAATCAGTTTCAAGGACAATGCATATATTGTCATAGTATGTTTTTTTTGTTTGCATTTTGACTGCAGGTATTGTGGTTAATGCAGACATGAATCCTTGTAAAAAAAGGTTCCAGTTTTGTTGCCAGAAAAAAGGGGAAAAACCCTATTATTATGCTGCTGCCTTGTTTCCCTGAGCAGTGTATTTTTTGGAGCAGAGCTGTTCTGGCCTCGATTAGTGTCCACACCCGGTCCAGATCATCAAATTCGTAATTGAAAACAGCACGGCGTGGTTGGTGACATCACCAAGCCTGTGTGCTGCACGAAGGAAATACTTTTTGTATCGGTTTAATACACAGTTTACATGTTTGTGTACATATTCAAAATTCTAATCACCCACAATACTGTCCAGCAAGATTGGCTTTTCACAGATGAGTTACTATGTTTCATTGAAGTGGGTAGGAAGAGGAATGGCTGAAGGCCGTGAAATTATGGTAGATGATATGAGACATTCAACCCAGAGCTGCAAATGTTGATTCACGGTAACCTAGGTTACGAGCGTTTTAATGGCACACATAACGGGTTCCTTTTATGACCGGCATGATGTAATGTTTGTTTTGTGTCCCAATACCCAAAACAGCCAAGCTCCATGACATCAAGTCATCGTGGTCCACCCTAGGCCAGGCCCCGCCCTCGTTAACCTCTCACGACCCTTGGAAAGTCCCCAAAAGCTCAGCCCCTCCAACGCGACCCCCACCGGGACTGACCAATCAGAAGCCCACTTCACCCTGGGGCGGACCAGGGAACCTGTGGGCCAATGCCGAGTCAAGAACTTTGACCCCAGGTAAGATCACATTCCCGCTTTTGTGCCCTATTTAAATGTATAGCTCGAGCTTCTGATGTTATTCTTGAGTACATAGGTATTTTTAGTACTTCAGTATTTACGACAGTAAGGTGTTTGGCACACTGTTTAACAATGCCGGTACCCAATAACAATAATAAGACTTCTCAATGCCTTGTTGCTGGAAGTGTGAGTTGGTGCATGTGGGCGGCACAGGCTAGAACCAGATCGGATATCACTCACCGTTAATGTGAGTCATGGGCAGGAAATAAACTCAGGTGGCAGGTTTCATAACTCGATGACTTGACCACTGAGCCATCAATCTGCGTTAATGACGTAGGCGGAGTGGTGCCTTCAGGTTGTACATGTAAATGCAAAGACAAATATCCCTAATATAGCCTGAACAGGCTGTAGGAGGAAGTGCTGGTAGCGAGCATCTATGAAGGCCGGCGCACAGCACACAAGGGGGTGGGTGGCCAACACCACGCCTGGCCGCCTTTGTCACCCCAGTCGCGATGTTTACACGATGGCACCAGGTACTCATTTTAGGCAAAGTCGACCTATGGGAGGCTCAGGACCAGGTTCAGATAATCATCACTGGTGGTGACCATGAGCGGGAATCGAACTCCGGTTGCTGGGTTCGTAGCGCAGCGTGCTTACCACTACATTACCGCTCTCCCGCTACACGAGCACGTGTAAATGCACCACTGTTATCACAGTAAGCTTTAGGTTAAATTACATAGCAAGTGAGGAATATATGAAGGTCTATATTATTAGCTCTTTCGGTAAAGTCACGTTGAAGGGAAACAATAAAATAATAAAATATATATAAAACAATAAAAATTCTCACGACGTTTCGACCATAACACAAACGGTCGTCATCAGGTGTGTCGGTTTGCATTAATTTATTTTTAAACGGTGTATTTATTTAAAAAAACGTCAGCGCCACGCGCAGCGATTTGGCAGTTTATTTAGAAGGACTAGTCCATCTATGTTCTGAAAAGAGGAGGGGGGAGACGAAAAATGTATGTATGCTGTCTGAAAGCCACTGTAAGCGTGAACAATCAATTAAGACCTGAAATGGTTTATCAAATCTTTCCAATGATAGCCTCATGAGGCTATCCACATATACAAGCACAGAGACAATTTCAACCGAGAAGATGGATTCTGGCTTAGCAATCATTGGAAAGATTTGATAAACCATTTCAGGTCTTAACTGATTGTTCACGCTTACAGTGGCTTTCAGACAGCATACATTAATTTTTCGTCTCCCCCCTCCTCTTTTCAGAACATAGATGGACTAGTCCTTCTAAATAAACTGCAAAATCGCTGCGCGTGGCGCTGACGTTTTTTTACAAATAAATACACCGTTTAAAAATAAATAAATGCAAAACCGACACACCTGATGACGACCGTTTGTGTTATGGTCGAAACGTCGTGAGAATTTTTATTGTTTTATATATATTTTATTATTTTATTGTTTCCTTTTCAATGTGACTTTACCGAAAGAGCTAAGAATATGAATTACTGCAGTCACGAAAGCTTTAAATCAAAATATGAAGGTCTACTTATTAATTTTATTATTTTTATGAAGGTATGAAAATTGTTGGTTGGTTTGATCCCTGTGTGTGCTGTTGCCACTTGCGTGCGTCCTATTCTTGTGTGTGCACGTGCGTGCAGGAGGAGCCTGGGATAACGAGGTAGGGTCAGCACCAGGGGGAGGCAGGAACAGTGCCTGGTTGGTGTTGCGCAACCTCACCCCACAGGTGGGCACACAAGACTCTTTTCTGACGTTGATTGGCAAAGTCCAAATTAAAGTGTGTGCGGACAAGTGTTGATTGTCAATCAAGAACCGATGAGTGAAATTCCTCATGCTAATATCAGAAACCGTTCTGTTCTATTGACAGCCACTGTTGACTTCCCACAAAAGATGTCCTCATTCGGTTGACCCAGGGGCATTATATAGTCGAGCCACGTCCGGGTTTGAACCCATGACCTATTGATTGTGAGTGAACCACTCATTACGCCAGCCCTTGTCTATAAATCCGGCCTGTTCCTTTTCCCTTCTCTTGCCTCTGGCTGCAGATCGACGGCTCGACGCTGCAGACTCTGTGTATGCAGCATGGGCCGCTGTTGACCTTTCACCTCAACCTGCCGCAGGGCAGTGCCCACGTGCACTACAGCTCACGCCAGGAGGCCAGCAAGGCACAGAAGTCCCTGCACATGTGAGCATAACACACACACGCACTGCCAGGCTTTATGGTCGAGTTCATCTTGTTTCAGATGTATGCTGGTCAATATCCGAATTCTGGTTCACTTCGCTGCTGGTTGAGTAGTGCAGTCAAGTGCATGTTGGTTAGTATGGTAGTGTGCATGGTGGAGAGAGTGGCCAGGTGCAATCCAGGTAATATGGAGATGTGCGTTTTGGGTAGTGTGTGTGGTGAGCTGTGTTGTGGGTTATGTGCTTGGCCAGGTGCGTGCTGGGTAACACGACGATCGTTGCGGAGTTGGCAAGCGAGGAGGAGGCGAGTCGCTACCTGGCCCAGTCCCCGATAGTTCCCTCCATGGGTCCCCCATCAACCCCATCGGGGTGGCCAACCGGCCCAGCTCAGCGTTCGGCTCTGGGGGCAGGGGTCACTGCAGTGCCGCCCCCCTTCAGCCGGACCAGCGGGGGTGGCGGTGGCAATGGCATTGTGGGTGGGAGCGGTGGGGGCGTGGGCCTCGGACGCTGGAACAGCGACATGCCCCCTCCCTCCCCATCCCTCTGGGGGACCCCGCACTATGGGACGGACACCCTATGGGGGGTGGGGGCCCCCAAGGTGGGGCATGAGGAGCCACGGGGCATCCCTGCCTCATCCCCGCTGCTGCCTGGAGACCTGCTCGGTGGTGGAGACACCCACTAGAATTCTCCCAAACCCAAGACCGTGCTGTTAAGTCTACACTACTTTTGTTATTTTTATTTCAAGTGTTTATATTTTAACTCGGGTTCCACATTGAAGTGCAGTGAAATGTGGAACACCGTACTTCACATAGCGTGTACTGTAGGTATACGTTCTCGTACGTTTTGTAGGTTCGTCCGATATGTTTTTTTTTTCATTTTTGTTTTCCAAAAAACATATCGTCTTGAATACTTGAATCGTGCAAGCCAATGCTGAAATGTGAAAAAGGTAAAAAAATGTTAATGATGACGTTGTACTCTCTTCCAAGATGTCACTTCTCCTTCTCCCATGAGATGGAGGCATTGGTACACGGCTGTGTGTTCGCCCCCCTGTCTGACGGGCGAGCCCACAGGGGCAGCCTGGGGACTCCCAGCTCCTTACTTTGCACTGAATGCTGGTTGGGCTTTTTTCTCTCCTTACCAACGCAATACGGGCGTCGTGCGTACGCATTTGAATGTTTACCGAAGGGGATTGATTCACCGTCGCTGGTGACACCTTTCACACATCTCGGAGTGAAGATGGTTGTGTGCGCGTGCGTGTGTGCAAACGTGTGTGTGTGTGTGCAAGTATAAGTGTTTTTTTAAATGACGTTTCAGTTTAGTAAAAAAAAATTTGGATGAATAACACGTAAAAAATACGAAAAATACAAAAAAAAGTTACAACTTGTATTGATTGCACCATGTTATTTCCACACGTAAAATACAAAAGAGAATTAAACAGAATGCTAATGGGTGGCCCGTGGACGGCAACAAAGGCCGAGCTGCCCGCCACCAGTGACAGCACTTTAACTGTTGACGGTGACGTCAGGGGCATGGAGTCCTTATACCGAGTGTTTACAGCCCATACTAGTCGTCGTGTGTCCGTAGGCATGGGTTCCTTTAGTAATTTTTTTCTATGTATTTTTTTCCTTGCAGAGAAAGTTTACTCTTCCATAATAACGGGGGGTGGAGGGGGGAGCTGATTTAAAACTCAGTTCAAATCATTGGCTCGTGGCTGTAGAACGCATACTAAGGTAACACGTATTCCAGTATTTTTATTTCTTTTTTTTTACTTCCAAAAAGACAAAAAAATGACTAAAACTGCGTTCCTGGTTCTCAGGAAACCTCGCTGAAACACTGAGTTGGAAAAATAAAAAAAAACCTTTCGGGATGTTACAAAGAAAGGAAAATAAAAACAAGTTTTTAAGAAGTGTAAGAATTAAGATTATATATAAAAGTACAAAAAATCTTTAAAAATAAAATTAAACAAGCACTGAGGTTGCAGAGTATTCCACAAACCCTGGTCCCTGGTTCCTGCCAAATGCCAGACGAATATCGGCTGGTGATCCTGTTTGAGGGGGCACACCCTCTCAAGCCCACCTGGGTCCCATGGGGCACGGGCCTCGCACTATGCATCTCCTTAGAGGCATTTAGATTAAGAAGAATCTGTTTTGTTGTTGGGCTATCTAAAATGCTCATGCTTGGTTACACACGTTTGAGGAGTATTTACAGTTTTTTCATTGTTGTTTGGGGAGGGGGGGTGGTTGGATTAGTGTTGTATTATTTTATCGTTTTGCTGAAGAAAAAAACGTTTCTCTTCGATGCAGCATTTTCGTGCGGTAGGGTTACTGTGTTTTTTGCCGAGTTGTGCGGCTCTGAAACGTTGAGTTTTAAAACGCTGAGCAAAAAAAACGAGATAAGAAAGCATCAAACGTGTTTGCCTTGTGACATGAAAACGTGAATCAATGCAGGGTCCTGAGAGACCCGACCTGCAAAGACCTCCGCTTACCTATTTTGTGGGACGTGAGCGGGAGAGGCACTCTGAATTACTGGTTTAATGGAAAAATGTTATCTTTTTGCTGCTTAATATTAAAATCACAAAAATACATTGCGTGTTCTCTTTTGCACTTGTGTGTGTCGTTTTCATTATATCTGTATTTTTACATTTAATCTAGGTGTGAGCAGTGTGAGAATCGATCCGATTCTTCGTCAGGTCTGATGTTTTGGCTACAATGTAGTTTCTGCCATATTTTGGGGGAGATGTCATTTTGCAACCTGACAAAGTGAGCCTGAGGCTGTTTTTTGCAGCAAAGTCCTGGTTAAAAATAAAAAAAACAGTTTGAAAGGTCACAATTGAAAAAAAATGGAAAATTACCTTCGCAATGGTGTAGCGATGAAGTGTGTAGGCGGTGTAGTGGGCACCGGGGGGATCATGGGCGCAGATGGCAGGCTAAGAAGGAGGGAAATTGGACAGGGAACCCCTATTTCACTCCTTTCACCAGGGCCCATGCCTACCACGCAATGCCACTGAACGTTCAAATATTGTATCTAATATTTGGTGAAGCTGTCATTCCCATTTAAATATAAGCTTAACATGTCCCACATTCACAACAGAACAAAAAAACTGGTTATGGTGATATTTCTAGTAAAAAAAAGTTATCTTGCCAACGTAATTGTGCATTTTATTTTATAAATGTATTTTCCCGTTGTGCTTTCATGCACTTTATTCAAACGATCCCTACAGTTTTTAGAAAGATTAATGGGGTGTTGGCAATAAAATTACACTTTTTACATATAAATATCTCGTTCGACAGGCCGATAGGTCTGTTAATGCGGTTGTGTGCTTTGTGATTGATGCATGAATATTGAGGTGTGGTGGCTGTTTGGAGCTCGCACAGGGGATCAGAACCAATTCGTGACTACCTCTGGTCAGAGGGTTTGTATTAAGACCGTACAACATGGGTTGCTTGGCTATACGAAATGTATTCAACTCCACACAATGGAAAACCTGTTTCGGACAATGCCACATCTTCAGAGGCAATCTCGACAATGGTCCTTCATGACAGGGACGTTTTCTGTCAAGAAAGGCCGCTGCCTAAAACGTTGCCCATAAAAAAAAGTTTAGGGCAGTGTTATTAACGAAAGCTTTTGTTGCTTGTGCACCATTGCCAATGCAGTATCACGAAAAACAGCATACCTGTCAATCCATACGGTTTGCCCGTAACATAAAAAAAGTGTCTCCCTTGTGTTGGGATTTTGCAGGATGAACGTTGAGATTTATAAGGGCACGGGGTGACCAATAAGGTCTGAAATGGTCTGTAATAAGGTCGGCACTGGTAAGGGGTTGACAGGTATGAAACAGTCTCCAATAAAGTTTGTAATGTTAGATTTTTCAGACGCGTGTGTGTTCTCGGCAGTGCAGCGGTGTTTTCACTCAAACATTAAAGAAATGACCAGACATCCCAAACAGATCCAGAAAAAAAACGAGACTCGGTGTGACTGGGTCAATATTTTGTTCAAGTTATTTAAATTGCAAGAGTGCCTCGCTGCTCAATGAGGCGGCACTCCTCTTATCCATTGGTCCTGAATTAATGTTGGGAAATTACACATTCCTATGACGAGAGACTTGTCAAAGGAACAACCACCGTTGAATTCAATTGCGCTGAATTTTATCGCGTCCCGCAACGATCACGATGGCTGGTTCGTACCGCTGTCTATAATCTAATGGTTATTGTCGTTAACGACTCGGAATTACTTTCAGAGAATTGAAAACAAGTGGATTCTCGAACATGCTCGGGTTAATGACAATTCAAGCTTCAGAAAGGTTAAGTGTTGGGCTCGAGACGAGGTGACAAGTCATGCCGAGAACGGCTTATTGGCGATGCTAAATAATAGCGGCAGCCAAGAAATGGAACGTGTCCGAGAAGACGGTGGACCGGGGAGATGGGGAGACGAAATCGGCACGGTGGATTATTAACATCGCAGGACCGAGAAGGCGATGGTTGTGGAGGCCTTCATTCAGCAGTGGATTGACCGTGACCGATGTTGATTCAGGATGGGAGAACCCCCCCGCCGAGCTCGGCTGACACCTGGCGGCCACGGGGCCCCAAATCCCAGTCACGGGCGATCGGTCGGGCCGCGTTCGCGACGTTTTAATCAATCCCGAGTTGTTAATTGGATTACATGCGTACGTACAAACAAACAAAAACAACGCGCTCGTAAGTATTCGATGTAAAGGGATTAATTATAGGTTGATTCGTTAGTCGTTTCGTCGATTCGTAGCGACGTAAAGGGGCCAGGGAGGCCTGGGGCCTGTGATTGCCGAGGGTTCCCTCCCGAGTCGGATAGCGACGCCGCCTGCCCTCGGCGTCGCCCTACCCCCGGCGAGAATCTAGGCAAGGGCGAGGCTTCAGACGCAGCGGCGGTCTCGTCTCATCACGGGTAATTCCGGTTGTATTTAATACGGTTTTTGTAATAATAAAAATAATTAAGGGCTGCTTCATTTCGTTTGTTTTACAAAAATCGTCGTTTGCTGGAGCTGTCGTGTGAGGCCCTCGCTCTGGGGTTTTCATCAAACTTATAGCACGAGGGGCCTCTGCGTTTGGTAACTTTGAGGCTCGGGTTTTCGGGCACGAAGCCACGGGTTAACTATAACTCAGGTTATCTTACTCTTTGTTTTTTTGGGGTTAAAGTCACGTAGGTATAAAATAAAAAAAATCACGACGTTTCTTTTAAAACAGTCTGCCTCGGCAGCAAGACCATCGCTTTCCCCACCTGATGACGACGGGACGCTTGTGTTGCGCCCGAAACGTCGCGATTTATTAAAAAAAATTTACTACCCGCGCGACTTTACCGAAAGAACCAAAGAGCCTCCTGGATTCCTGCAGTCACGAAAGCCTCAAGTCCAGGTCATCTTCCCCTTTAGTATCGTGTTAGAAACGCGGTCCAGGGATACTTTCAGAGGTGGCCTTTAGCCTCCCCCAGGAGTTGGGAACGCGGCCGCCGAGTTTGCGTCCCCTGCAGGTGTTTGGATGGATCGCTGCACAGCTGGACAGCGAGGGATTTGGGAATGCCATCATCCAGCAGTGGAACGATCATGGCTGTTCGACTCTTCACCCGATTTAACCTTAATGTATGTTGGGATTGTGCGAGGGTTGAGGTTATGAACCCAGGGTTTACGCCACGCGCAGTTTAGCACCGTTCTAAACAGTTGAGCCGAATCGGAAGCCAACTTGAGATGCACATTCTCAACATCTGGCTGCTCTAAAGAAACTCCGTTGTTTTACAAAGTGGTATTAATGAAGATGGAAAAACGTCCACCGTCAGCATCGAGGTCGGCTATCCTGTTTTACATTTGCCCTGAAGATCTGTTCTGGTGGAGCAAAGTCTACAAATCGGGGAAGTGAGTCTCGCCCAATTGTCACTCTTTCAAACGCCAGGATATTTATTCTGATCGCCCTGGCATCCTGGTGAAGACATGGGTGAACAATACTCAGTAATAAAAGCCCTGATCCACATGACTGCAGATAATAAGCACGGCCAACCTGCTATTATCTGCCTCTTTATTATTGATGATGAAAGGCGTGAATTGGGCTCTACTTAAGTATATGTGTTGCGTGTTCCTGCTGTTGTCTCTTCTGTCCTCCAGGTGAGACATGGACAGGGTAAAGCTGATCGACTTCACTCCGGCCAGCGCAGCTACCGAGCGCTGGTGCGACGGTGAGGCACGGGCAAGGGGCGAGAAGGAGACGCTCGTCCCACGCCAGGTCATCAGTGGCACCGAGGCCAGGAGCTTCTACGAGCACCTCCTGGCTGCAGACTCAGCACAGACGACACCTGCAGAGCTCCCGGAGAACAAACTGCGAAGACAGCAGAGGCGTGAGAGGAGGCGTGAGAGGAGGCGCGAAAAGGACACACCGATAGTTGGGCAGCGAGACACCGGCAGAGCAGTGACCCCAGCTGAGCGGCAGAGAGCCGGGCACCGGCTGCTCAAGTGCGCGCAGCTCGGTGATGTCGAGGGCCAACGTCAGGTGCTGGCAGAGGGGCTCTGCGACGCCACCTTCAGGGACTCCTTTGGCTGGACGGCGCTCATGTGTGCAGCGCACGCCGGGCACATAAATGCTGTGCGGATGCTGCTAGAGGAGGGCGGGGAGGAGCAGCGGCACGATGAGGCACTGAGGCTGGCGAGCGGGCAAGGGCACGGGCACGTGGAGGTCGCGCTGCGGGACCTGGCGGGGATCAAGGAGAGGGAGCGTGCCGAGCTGGAGCGCGCACGACAGGAGGCGGCTCGCAGACGGTGGTGTGAGATTTGCGCCGCCGAATGCTGCGACGCGCCCGGCTCGCGGCACGAGGCCAGCACTGTGCACCTGCTGAGCCGTGACGCGCCGCTGCCGCCCACACACTACCACATCCCCGAGAGCAGCGTGGGCTTCCGGCTCATGCTGCGTGACGGCTGGGACAAGGAGACCGGCCTGGGCCCCGATGGGAAGGGCCGCAAGTTCCCCATTAAAACAGTGCTCAAGCGCGACCTCACTGGCCTGGGCTTCAAGCGCGACCTCCCAGCCCGCGTCACGCACTTCTCGGCGCATGACGAGGATGCTGTTCGCAGGGCCCAGGGGCCCCAGCCGCCTGTGAGCCGCATAGAGCGAGCGGCAACATTGGGCCGGCGGGCAGCGAGCAGGCAGGAGGCGCGGGCACGGGACTGGGAGAGAGATCTGCGGAGTTACATGAACACCGACTGATGAGGATGGCAAGCTAGTGTTGAATGAACATGGTGTGTGTGGAAAATGTCTGTGGACCCCATAGCAGTGGTGTCGTGGTTATTGTACTGCGCATACTTCACACACTGCCTGAGATTGATTCTTGTGCCATACCATGCGTGGAACGTGTTCTGAAAATGGCTTGGGCTTCAGCTAGGTCGCTATTACAGTAAAATAAGTATCTCGGTTGTGAACAGCAATACTAGGGAGACAAAAGCAGCTGGTGTATATGGTGCTGGTAAACCAAGTGCTGTATAAAAATCATACCTTTGTGTGCAGTGTTGCTGTAATAGTTGCCCCCTAAACGTACTACACCCTGATGTTTGTTTTTGTCATTGTCATTTTTGATACAGCTTCTGTGCACAAATTGTTCTACAAATGTTCAGACCGCTCAGCTAAAATGTAAATTTGATTTCAAAATAACCCTTGTATTCCAGTATTTTTTTTGGGAATGACGCACATGTTGGCATCATTTGCTTGCAGCACACTAACGTTTTGACAGTGGTGCGCACTGTCGAACAGCAGGCCTGATGTAGCAAAATTCTCCAGCACATCAAACATTTCTTACAAAACTCTGTTATGGTGATTCCTAAAGCAGCCTGCGGTATATTTTGCCGTGAGCGCCCGTGTTGACGTTCATACAGATACAGAACATTATTCAATGTGGAGACGAGTCGGGCCCGCGTGGTTTTGTAAGCACAGATGCTGGGAGATTGGGGCTGGCTTCGTGATGTGTGCAATCGTCTCTTTCAGCCAGTGACAACACCATGGTTCATGTTGCCATCATGAAAGAGTCAACCAAGTCCTTTTTTAAAACAATTCCAGTGAGGGTCTGGAACAAAAACCAGGACGATGTTTTAATCACAATAGTAAATATATTATGTGCATGTTCCAATGCTGCTAAGATTAATTTACATGGTTTATGGTGAACTCGGTGAGAGCTGATTGAGACGGTGACCCAAATAATTTTTTGTGGAAACTGATGTTCTTGTTTTTTGGCAATACAAATTCCAACTTTATAGATAAGTGGCTGTGTTATTTTTGTTACCCAAAACATGAATAAAGGTCATCATTACATAAGGGAGATGGGGGTAAAGATATCATCGGATGCATGTAAAGACACATGGCTGCTATCATATTATAATTGCTGTAACCTGTATGAGTTATATTCATTATGTAGTGGTCAGTAATATAATCTTTAAAATCACATTAAGCACTCTGAATGGCAGTGAATTTGTTCAACAAGACATCCCTTGCCTTGATAAGGTTGCCTTTGGTAATTTAATCATTTCCTTTGATTAGTTGAAAATATAACAACCTCCCTGGGATCAGAATTGACTCTTTATCCTAAGTGGATTGATAAAATGAGAACTACTTTGTATAACAAGCAGATATGATATGATAATTGTCATTTATGCATGAACGCTTCTGTGAGTCCCAAGACTTCGAGCACAATCGTGCATTGGGATGATGTTTTGGTCTGTTCGTTTTTGGAACAATTTCCCCCCTCTGATGAATGAGAGACAGCCTTTAGGGACATATTTTGCTGCAGTCATTCTGAAGAGAAAAAACCCCCAACATTACCACAGCATTTTTTTTTACCAAAAATCAAGACAATTTGAAACATTCACCAACGTGTGAATTTTGCTATTAATGTGGCTTTCACTTGACTCCAGCCGTTAATATATTGTAATTAGACCGTGCTGTGCGGCCCATCTCACGTTGGCCGTGTGTGAGCAGTCTGTTGGCTTTCTGAGCCCATTGGGCCCCGTATTAACTCTGTGGCAACTGTGTAATTATTTCGATTACCGTATTTGACTTGCTTTACATTTCCACGTGATAAGCTACTTCGTTGAGCTATCATTTGTGGTCAGGTCGCTTCTGCAAAAGAAGCGAATCTCTTGTAAAAAGCTCAAAGCTGGTAAAATATAAATAATTTACTTTTTATTATTTTGTGATCTGCTTTACCTCAAATGTACGTTGCACTTCTATCATGTTTTTGGTATTGTTTGTTAGGAACTTTCTGACCCCGTGCCACTACCGGACATCTGTGAGAGAGACAATAAAAAATAGCTTCACCGCTCATCGGATTCCTCCAATATAAATACAGATTCTGATTCTGTAATTCTCATGGGGGGGTATGGGGGTGGGATGGGTGCCCTGTGTGAGCTCTGTGTAGGCAATGTATCCGCCAGCAGAGGGCCTCGGTGAACTCGAAGTGGCTGGTGGTGGTGATGATCATCATCAGAATCCGTGACGGCATCTGCCGGCGACCGAACGCACGGCCCCGATGGTGGGAGGGAGGGAAGTGGGGGGGGCCCGTTCCGAGTGAAGGACGGCAGCCGGGGGACGCAGACGACGGCGATTGGGGGGCACAGGGAGCGAGGAAGCAGGGGACACCAAGGGGGTGCCGGGCATCAAGGGCGGCGAGGGGGGGGACCATGGCAGCTGCCGGGTGGAGCGGAGTGCTGCGACTCACGGACCTCGACGACTTCATCGCCCCGTCTCAGGTAGGAACGAGGCAACCCCGCACGCAGACCGCGGCAGTGAGATGCCGATGACGCCCGATGCATACATTGGAGAGTTAATTACAAATAAGTAATATTTAAAAATACTTTTAAAAAACACGCTTTAATGGAATGTACCGTACTGGTAATGGAAGAACTCCACGACTCCAGGTAGTGGCCCCGAAGCTTGCCACAACGTGGTGATTTACAGCCAACGTGAATTGAGCGTGGACAATTAGACCCAAGCCGAAACATAACATATAAAAAAAACACGTTGAAATTTTTTTATGATACAATATAGTATTGTCATCAGTATGACAAGTATACCAAGTTTGTAGTCGATACCACATTGGGAAGTGGGTTAAAATTCAGTTACAAGATTTGAGGATACAACAACAACAGACAGAGTGAGTTAAAAGAAAGCGTGTGATAATAAAAAATAATAAAAACCAACTCTGACGCGCCGCTTGTTCCACGCGCCGCTTGTTCCACGCGAATAAGGTCTGAATTGGTCTTTAATAAGGTAGGTACTGATAAGGGATTGACAGGTTTGTTTTTGTGTAATTCGTAATTAATTTCAGTTACGGTGTGACTGTACTTTGACATTTTTAGTGGACATTGTTTCTGTAATTGTAATTATAATTGACCCCAGGTCCGATTTACGGTGCTGGTACCTCATCTCACGCCTCCCCTCACCAATCTCACGTCTCCCCTAACCAATCTCACGCCGCTCTCATGCCTCCCCTCACCAATCTCGCACCTCACCTCGCCAATCTCTCTCGTGCCGCTCACCGACAGGAGTGCGTGAAGCCCGTGGTGGTGGAGAAGACGCAGGGACGCGCCCTGGGGAAGATCACCGTGGAGGAGGATGGGGCCCTGATGGAGACGGACGAGGTGGGACCCATCTAAACTAATCACTAAACGACAGGAGATTCCCCATTATCCATGTGCGCTTTATCGGATTTGCCAAAATTAATCGTCTAAAAACAGTGACACGTTGTTATTATTTTAAATATTTATTACAAGTCACGTGCTTAAACCAAACAAATATGTGCTCCGGTTAATTCGAAATCCACGTGATCGCCTCAACAGTACAGTAGTTGCATATCTTTACAACAGTGGGCATAGTGTAATTTTTTTGACGTGGCTCTGCTATCCGCTTTGTGGCCAGAGTCTTCTGTGTCGGAGCAGGAAAGTGTTATTACTGAGCACACGCATCGATTGGTCGATCGTTAGTATCCGTTCTCAATTTTCTTAAATTAAACATGATTTATACCGATATTAGTGGTTTTCGGCATAGAGAGCCATGAAAATTTATATTTTTGGATTAGCAACAATTTTTTATTAATCTTCGGCCATCCTCCTCGTCATTAGTGTGGATAATCGAGAGTCTACTGTATTTTTTATTTTACCAGGCCCACTGAGCTATATAGCTCTTTTTCAAAAGAGACCTGGCCACAAATGATCGTCCAATGAAGTGGCTTATCGTCTGGGAATGTATAGCAGCCAAATAATCTAAATGTGGAGAGAAAACCGGAGGACGCGGAGAAAAATCCACATGGAGAGAGAGAGACATGCAAACTACAAATATACAGGCATCAGGGTCGGGATCAAACCCGCGACCTCCTGAATACGAGGTGAGATAGTTACCATCTTGCCACCCTGGCGTCCTGGAGGGTCGTGACTGCAGTGCAATATGACGAGACACAGCAGCCACGGTGCAGGCTCAAGATTTTTTTTTTCCCTGCGAGGGCCCTGCTCCCACGTTGTGATGTTTAGATAAATCCGTCAGTGAGCCGTTTTGGTCAACGACATGAGCCGTTAGGTTTGTTCGGGTGGCACCATCTTCATTTTTATCCCGACGCCGGTCACGCCCACGCAGCATGGGACGACGCGGCCACTGCAGAAGGCGAGCATCACACTGGACGACTGCCTGGCGTGCAGCGGCTGCGTCACTACGGCCGAGAGCGTCCTCATCCAGCAGCAGAGCCACGTCGAGATGCTCCGCGTGCTCCGAGAAAACCAGGTGAGTTGTAGGTGAGAGGTGAGCGAGAGGCAAGGAGTGGGGTCATCTGCGAGATCCACCAGCCCTTGCTGCCTCGGGGCCTGACCACGTGCACCGCAGCACCCATAACAAAGATCCCTCGTGCAGCCTTTAACAGACTGTTGGGGCAAGTGCTGTTAGCGAGCACCTATGAAGACCGGCATGGCACACGAAGAGGGTCGGTGGCTAGCACCACGCCTGGCCGCCTTTGTCTCCCTTAGTGGTGATGCTTACACACATCGCACCCCAGTACTCATTCGAGGCCGAGTCGACCTTGGGGAGGCCCAGGACCGGTTCACATAATCGTCACTGGTGTGGCCATGAGTGGGAATCGAACTCGGGTCGCCGGGCTCGTAGCGCAACGCGCTAACTGCTGCACTACTGCAACACCACTTGGGCAGTTCTCGGGCGCTCCCCACGGCACGGCTCGCCATTATCACCATGTGGGCAGAGGCTCCATTTTTTATACGAACAGATAATATCGGTCGTGGCGAAATGACAGATGTGTCTGGTCACGAGGACTGGAGTTGCGACACGCCAATGGGACACATTCATCGAGTTTCCCGAAACCAACACTCCTGCCTTCCCCGTTTCAACCCCACACGTAATCGATTTGGACAGTGCCCATTTCACAATCATCGTATCGCCACTGCATTGCCGCCATTGTCACCAATACCTATATGCCAGGATTCATGTCTCTGAAGTAAATCACTCCTGCGTGATATTTATTCACGTTTTGTTCAATTCAACGATGGCAATCCCGCCGTGTGCTCATGTGTTTGCGTCTGCGTGTATGTGTGCGCGTGTGTGTGCATGTATGTGTGCGCGCGTGTGTGTGCGCGCGTATGTGTGCGCGTGTATGTTTGCGCGTGTATGTGTGCGTGTGTGTGCACGTGCGTGTGTGTGTGCACGTGCGTGTGTGTGCGTGTATGTGTGTGTGTGTGTGCGCGTGTGTGCGTATGTGTGTGCGCGTGTGTGTGCGCATGTGTGTGTGCGTGTGTGTGCGCGTGTGTGTGCGTATATGTGTGTGCGTGTATGTGTACGCGTGTGTGTGTGCGCGTGTGTGCGTGTGTGTGTGTGCGCGTGTGTGTGTGTGCGCGCGTGTGTGCGCGTGTGTGTGCGCGTGTGTGTGTGTGCGTGTGTGCGCGTGTGTGTGTGTGTGCGCGTGTGTGTGCGTGTGTGTGCGTGTGTGCGCGTGTGTGCGTGTGTGTGCGCGTGTGTGCGCGTGTGTGTGTGCGTGCGTGTGTGTGTGCGCGTGTGTGTGCATGTATGTGTGTGCACATGTGTGTGTGTGCGCAGGCCCTTGGAGAGGCGTCTCGCCGTCTCGTGGTGGTCTCCATTTCCCCACAGGCGCGCGCCTCCCTGGCCGTGCACTATAGCCTGGGCCTCCAGGAGACGGCCTCCCGCCTCACCGGGGCCCTCAAGGCGCTGGGTACTGAAACGCACAACGCTTGCCAATCACCTCGGCTTCGTAGTGAGGTTTTATTTTAAAGGTTTGTTTCACATTGACTGCCTCATGCCCTCCTAGGTTTTTTGCATGCCCCCTCCCCCACCTCTCCCTTTCAACAAGATCACGGCCACAGGGTTGATGAGCTGAGAATGTTCATTCAGAACTCTCGGAGAGCAGCCCATCACCACTTGTTGGAGAATGGTCCGAGGAAGGAGATATCACAGAACTCCTTCTGAGATACAATCGCATTACCTCTTGGAATACCGCACTATCCCACGTGCCCTGGTGGAGAGAAGTTCATCACATGGCAGTCAATTCCTTTATACCAAGTAATAAGTACACAAGAAATCCTGTCTCTGAGGTTCGAGGTCCAGTTACCTGGGATTTTGGTTATCCGAGATGAGCGACGCACGGCTCGCTCTTCCAATTATCCGGCCGCCGGAGTTATACAAGTGAGAACTCCAATTATCAAGATTAATCCAGGGTCCAAACCCAAGGTAACCAAGTGAAACCCCAGATAGCTACCACGGTTAACTGGATCTGGGGTGGGTGTTCTACACATTACCCCGGATAACTAGAGTTCTACTGTGTGTGAATACACAACAATTTGTTGACAACGTTTATCTGCGTCGTAGGCAAGAGATTTTGTCTTGCATACATTATTTTTCAAATGTTTATTCGCGCTTCATTTTAACGCTCGGCACTCTTTTTAATTGTAATTTTGTACCGATCTGTAGTCGCGTTGTACATTTCATCCTTTTGGCGGTACCCCGGGGTACCCAGTAATACAAAATGGCCGAGACACTACGCGAGAGCCGGGGTACTATGGTACCTCGGGGTACCGCCATAAGGCTCATCTGTTCTTCCGTCTGCATCCCGAGTTTCACCTGCAAAAAGAGAGATGCTCGTCTTATTGGCATCTCTCCCCCGTTATCCCCCAAAGGTCACCGATTAGAGAGGCTGAGCCCCGCTTGGGGCCGTTGGTTCACCACCTGGCCCCTAATCATAGCCCTGGCCTTGCTCGTGTGACGCGGTGACGTCGCGCACCGTTCGGCGTGAGGCGACGAGGTTTACGTCGTTTGGCCGACCATGGCAATGGACTTCGTTTTGAAACTACGGGCGGGGGTTTCCAGCCCTCACCCGAACGCCGACCCAAACCAGAAGCCCGCATCGGATAAGCGGTCGGTTCTTTCATCGGGAGTGTTAATTAGGTGATGAGGTGATGACTTCACTAACATATGCATCCCTCGGTCGTGCTTTTTCAAGGAAAGTTAAATAATACATTTTTATAAGAGGCTGGGCAGCTGACAAAAAGCTGCGGCTGGTGTGTCCGCATGCGAGTGCCGTGTCAGCACCCGCTCACCTCCAGTATTCAAAGTGAGGACTCCCCGGGGGGGATGGGGAGTGGGGTCACAGCAGCAATCGTCGCTGAGACCCTGCATTGTCTCCCGCCCCCCCCCCTCGCCCCCCTAAATCCTCCTGCCGGTAGGCGTCCACCGTGTGTACGACACGACGTTCTCGCGTGACTTCAGCCTCCTCGAGAGTGGCCGCGAGTTTGTGGAGCGGTTCCGTCGCCGCGACAGCGACCCCGCAGCGCTGCCCATGCTCGCGTCCGCCTGCCCAGGTGCGCTCCTGCCCTTGCCCTGCCCTCACAGCCCCTAGGCCTCCCCTGCCCCGCGCTCCCTATTGCTCCACCAGCCCTGCCCCTCTACCGCAATGTCTCCTCGTCTCTCCTGACAACAGCTAACTCAGCCCCAACTTGCTTTTATCTTCCATTTTAAACAAGTCTCGATAGTATGTAAATATATTTTTATTGTTGTTTTAGAATGTTATATTGAGTATGAATGTGATGGCGCTTTGAGTGGCAGATTTTTGCTAGAAAGGCGCCACATATGTTAACAAAAACAAAATTGACTTGACCTAACCACTTTATTGACACTTTCCCCTTACTCTCCCCCTATTCGGCTATGAACAATCCACGTTGTAACGTGTACCGGTGAGGGCATGATATCACGAGCTATACATTGCAATGGAGGGTGTCCGATCGTGGGGTACGCGTTCCCTTGCCACAGGGTGGATTTGCTACGCAGAGAAGACGCTGGGTTCGATGGTGTTACCATTCATCAGCACTGTGCGGTCACCACAGCAGGTCATGGGCTCCCTCGTCAAGGACCATATTGCCCAGCAGCAAGTGAGGCTGCCCTACAAACAACGGTCACACGGGGACACAGGGACATAAACTGAACTAAAACTTTTTTATTTTACCGGGCAAGGCCCTCTGATCTAAATACAGTAAAACCTTGTTATTTCGGTATTTGAGAATTCGTAATTGGGGATAATTTGGCACGGCTGCGCTTTCGGCATATACTGTATGTTAGTAATTCGCCATGAGCCGAATTGCCGTACCAAATGGTCCAATTTTGGCATGCACGTGCAGCGATATCGCGCGCCACGACCAAAACAACGACTCGGACTGGTGGCGGCGCGCATGGTGAGCGTTAGTGCAGACCCGTCGCTTTGGACTTTACCTTCTTTATGCACTCTGCAAGCCAACCCTCTCAGAAATGTCGTCTACACCCACATCAAGAAGTCATAGAAAGGGACTGAAGTATACATCCCATAGTCTGTGAGAAAAATGGGTTTTTTTTTCTGTATTAGGGCAGGAGGTACTGAGGAGTAACATTGTACATAATTCATCATATTGGATAATTCGGCAAGGGCCAAAGCGAATTAAACAAGGTTTACTGTAGCACTTTTTCAGAAGCGACCTGGCCACGAATGATAGCTCAACGAGGTGGCTTATTACGTGGAAATCTATAGCAGCCAAATACTCCGACCGCATGTTTCTAAATGTGGAGGGAAAAACCAGAGGACCTTGAGAAAAATCCACGCGAACACGGGAAGAACATGCAAACTCCGCACCTCCGATTAGCATGGTTGACTACGTACAGCGCGAAAGAAGTTCAACATACATCCATACAAACTCCAAATACACAGGCGTCGGGGTCGGCATCGAACCCACGATCGTCTGTATATCAGGCGAGGTAAGTTAACATCTCACAACCGCGGCGTCCGTATGGTCATGGGGACATGGGGACACGGACAAGGATACGTGGGAACATAGAGACACAGGGTTATGCCGACACAGAGCATGCTGTGCGTGTTGTGTTGTCATGTGTGTTGTTTTGCTTGTGTGTTTGCGTGTTGTGTATTCTCGTGCATGTTGTGTGCTTGCGTGTTGTGCATTGTGGTGCATGTTGGCTGTTTGTGTGTTGCGTATTGCTATGCGTGTTGTGTGTTTGTATGTGGTGTGTTTGTACGGTGTGTATTACGGTGTGTATTTTGTCTTTGCGTGTTTGTGTGGTGTGTATTGTGCGTGTTGTGTGTGTGTCGTGTGTGTGTTTGTGTGGTTGTGTGGTGTGTATTGTCGTGTGTGTTGTGTGCGTGTCGTGTGCGTGGTTGTGTGGTGTGTATTGTCGTGTGTGTTGTGTGCGTGTTGTGTGTGTGTTTGTGTGGTGTGTATTGTTGTGTGTGTTGTGCGGTGTGTATTGTCGTACATGTTGTGTGTGTTTGTGTGGCGTGCGTTGTGGTGGCGGCAGGGCTGTGCACCTGGCCAAGTGTACCATGTGACCGTGATGCCGTGCTACGACAAGAAGCTGGAGGCGTCGCGCGAGGACTTCCACCTGCGGGAGTTCGACACCAGGGAGGTCGACTGCGTCATCACGTCCGGTAGGGATGACCCCCAACCTCTAGCCACTTTCCCCTTCCCTCTCATTCCCTAACTCCTTCCCTCTCACTCCCTAACTCCTTCCCTCTCACTCCTAACTCCTTCCCTCTCACTCCCTAACTCCTTCCCTCTCACTCCCTAACTCCTTCGCTCTCACTCCCTAACTCCTTGCTTCTCACTCCCTAACTCCTTCCCTCTCACTCCCGAACTCCTTCCCTCTCACTCCTAACTCCTTCCCTCTCACTCCCTAACTCCTTTCCTCTCACTCCCTAACTCCTTCTCTCTCACTCCTAACTCCTTCCCTCTCACTCCTAACTCCTTCCCTCTCACTCCTAACTCCTTCCCTCTCACTCCTAACTCCTTCCCTCTCACTCCTAACTCCTTCCCTCTCACTCCCTAACTCCTTCCCTCTCACTCCCTAACTCCTTCCCTCTCACTCCCTAACTCCTTCCCCTCTCACTCCTAACTCCTTCCCTCTCACTCCTAACTCCTTCCCTCTCACTCCTAACTCCTTGCCTCTCACTCCTAACTCCTTCCCTCTCACTCCTAACTCCTTCCCTCTCACTCCCTAACTCCTTTCCTCTCACTCCCTAACTCCTTCCCTCTCACTCCTAACTCCTTCCCTCTCACTCCTAACTCCTTCACTCTCACTCCTAACTCCTTCCCTCTCACTCCCTCACTCCTTCCCTCTCACTCCCTAACTCCTTCCCTCTCACTCCTAACTCCTTCCCTCTCACTCCCTAACTCCTTCCCTCTCACTCCTAACTCCTTCCCTCTCACTCCCTAACTCCTTCCCTCTCACTCCCTAACTCCTTCCCTCTCACTCCTAACTCCTTCTCTCTCACTCCTAACTCCTTCCCTCTCACTCCCTAACTCCTTCCCTCTCACTCCCTAACTCCTTCCCTCTCACTCCTAACTCCTTCTCTCTCACTCCTAACTCCTTCCCTCTCACTCCCTAACTCCTTCCCTCTCACTCCTAACTCCTTCCCTCTCACTCCTAACTCCTTCACTCTCACTCCTAACTCCTTCCCTCTCACTCCCTAACTCCTTCCCTCTCACTCCCTAACTCCTTCCCTCTCACTCCTAACTCCTTCACTCTCACTCCTAACTCCTTCCCTCTCACTCCTAACTCCTTCCCTCTCACTCCTAACTCCTTCCCTCTCACTCCTAACTCCTTCCCTCTCACTCCTAACTCCTTCCCTCTCACTCCCTAACTCCTTGCCTCTCACTCCTAACTCCTTCCCTCTCACTCCCTAACTCCTTCCCTCTCACTCCTAACTCCTTGCCTCTCACTCCCTAACTCCTTGCCTCTCACTCCCTAACTCCTTGCCTCTCACTCCTAACTCCTTCCCTCTCACTCCCTAACTCCTTCCCTCTCACTCCCTAACTCCTTCCTTCTCACCTCTAATCATCTCTATCTTTTTCCCCCGAAGTCAAGACTTCTTACCGCACTGACTGATGGTGATGATGCGTCTGCGAGCACATGTTGCATGTCTGACTGAACATCGGTGGCGTTTGATTTCACAACCGGGCCTGTGTCTCACCTAGGTCGACTCAGCCTTAAATAATTGAGTGCCTGTTTCGGTGCGTAAACATTATCATTGGAAAGACAAAGGCGGTCGGGCGTGGTGCTGGGCGCCACGCCACCTCCTCGTGTTCCGTGCCGGCCTTCATAGGTGCTCGCTAACAGTACTTGCCCCAAAAGTCTGTTAAGGCTACAGGGGGGACCCTTTGTCTTTGGTGTCGTTGCAGAGGAGGTGGTGCGTTTACTGGAGGACGAGGTGGGAGTCTCTCTGCGTGAAGCCGAACCCGCGCCTCTCGACACGGAGTGAGTGTTGGGTTCTCTTGCAGCTAACGTGCACAGAGATGTACATAGTACACCTACTACACACGTGTACAAAGATCCCCAGTCTAGCCTTTTACAGACTGTTTGGGCAAGTGCTGTTCACGAGCAGCACCTATGAAGGCCAGCACAGAACAGGAGGGGGTGGAAAGCCAGCACCATGCCCAGCTGCCTTTGTCTCCCCAGTGCTGATGTTTACACACCACACCAGGTTGGTGTGTAATGATAATGTTTATGCACCGAAACAGGCACTCAATTATTTAAGGCTGAGCCTTAGCTGAGTCAACCTCGGAGAAGATATTCGCTGTCTCTGTTATTAGTCATGAGCGGGAATCGGATCGCCGGGTTCATAGCGCACTGCGCTTACTGCTGCACCACCACTCCCCAGGTGAAGGTACACACGTGTGTGTACATACACGTGTAAATACACATGTGTGTGTACATACACATGTGTATGTACACACACGTGTACATACACATGTGCGAGCGGTCGTGCAGCGATTAGTGCGCTGCGCTACGAACCCTGCTACTCGAGTTCGATTCCTGCTCACGGCCAACACCAGTGATGATTATCTGAACTTGTCTTGGGCCTCCCCTAGGTGGACTCAGCCTCAAATGAGTACCTGGTGCGATGTGTCAACATCGCCACTGGGGAGACAAACGCGGGTGGGCGTGGTGCTGGCCAGCCACCCCTTGTGTGCCGTGCCAGCCTTCATAGGTCCTCACAACGGCACTTGCCTCAACAGTCTGTTACAAGTTATACGGGGGATCTTTGTCTTTATCTTTGTTGACGTGTGCGTGCGTCCGTGCATGTGCACGTCCGTGTAGGCTGAGCCTCGTGGATGAGGGAGGGGCCGTGCTGGGCCACGATGGGGGAGGCTCGGGGGGCTACCTGGAGCACGTGTTCCGCCACGCTGCCCAGGAGCTGTTCGGAACAACCGTCACCGACATCACCTACAGGACCCTGCGGTGAGCGCGTTTTTGTGCGCGTGTGTCGATGTATTTGTGTCTCCGTGCGTGCGTATGTTCTGAGGAGTGGTGTTGCAATGGTTAGCAATCCGAGCTCAATCTCTGCTCACGGCCAACACCAGTGACAAATATTTTAACTGGCCCTGGCCCCTCCCGTAGGTCGACTCGGCCTCAAATGAGTATCTGGTGTGGTGTGTAAAGATCAGCACTGGGGAGACAAAGGCAGCCAGGCGTGGTGTTGCCCACTCACCCGCTCGTATGCCATGCCGGTCTTCATAAGTGTTATTCTCAACAGCACTTGCCCCCAACAGTCTGTTCAAGGCTACATTAGGGATCTTTGTCTTATTGTGTGCGTCCGAATGTATGTCTGTGTATGTGCACGTGTGCTTACCCAAGTGTGGTGACGTCACTATCATTAAGTCACAATTTTTTATTGTTGTTGTTGTCTATGCGTGTGCCTTAACAACGGTGAGTGTGTGTACGTGTCTACGTGCGTGTGTGTAGATATTTGTGCGTGTCTGTTTGTGCACATCTGACCCCACGCTCATGTCTCCTGACTCCACACTCGTGCATCCCCACTGGTCACTCGTCTCTCTCCTGACCCGCTTCGTGACCCCTCACCCGCGGTACAGGAACAAGGATCTGCGGGAGGTGCTGCTGGAGAGCGACGGCCGCGTCCTCCTCCGTTTCGCCGCCGCCTACGGCTTCCGCAACATCCAGAACCTGGTGCAGCGGCTCAAACGCGCCAAGTCCCCCTACGACTACGTCGAGGTCATGGCCTGCCCCTCTGGTACGACTCCCGAACTCTCACCCCTCACCCTCTGGCCTCTCTCCCTAACCTACACGTTGACCTCTGACCTCGGCTGCCCCCTTGCAGGCTGCTTGAACGGCGGGGGCCAGGTGCGCACGAAGGGGGTACAGGCCGGTGGGGTGGCGGCGGAGGAACTGCTGCGGCGCGTGGAAGAGGCGTACGCCAGCGCCGCGCCTGTGCCGCCGGGTTGCGGCGACGGTGCCGTCACAAGACTCTACCGCGAGTGGCTGGGGGACGAGGGCAGCGAGCGCGCCAAGGCGGCGCTGCACACATCCTACCACGCTCTCGAAAAGCCGGCCAGCTCGCTCAACCTTAAGTGGTAGCCAGCGTGGTCGCGCGCCCACCTGCCCGCCCGCCCGCCTGCCCGCCCGCCTGCCCGCTCGCCAATCGCTAATCCGAATGACTTGCTCATTCATTCGTTTTCAGACACGGGGGCTGGTGTCCGCTCGATGCCGATCTGTCGACCGACTGCTGCTGCTGCTCGTCAGGAGCTAGGCACCGTGTGTGCCCGCGAACTCACGAGTGCCAGGGAGGCCTCCAGTCTCTCTGGTGGGGTGCAAGTCACCCTTGAACTTTGTTACACGAACTACAGATGCCACTGCACGTGATGCTGTGTCGAGCACCACGTGCAGTGGCGTCTGCGCCGTGTTGGGTAATTGAGTGACACTGGTAGGTCGGGGGTGAGGGTGGTTGTGGGGAGTGGCGTTACGGCTCACAGTGACGGAAGGAGGTGGACCAGCGTGCGCGAGCGGCTTGTGAGCTGAATGTAACCGTTTAGTGACGGCTGACATGTAAATATGAATGTATCTTTGGTACAGTCTAATTTTCGAATCTATATACACGCACGAAATTGCAATTCCTGATACTTTACGGTGTACAATAAAGATTGGAGGTCAGCGTGCGACTGTACACGATTTTGAATTTCTTCGCACATCGATTCACAAGGAAATGTTTTAATTTCATGCAAACATCGAATGTGTCACCACATTGTGATTATTGTGCTTGTTACCCAGGAAAGGCTCACAGAGTTCCTCAAGGTAATTTTTTGGAGGGTCCTGCCAAGTTTTCCCGCTAGGGGTGATGATGTTGCTGTGTAATCCCAATGAGTAATTTGGGATATTTGTTTGGCCAATACTAGTTACAGTTTGTGTGGTTTTTTTGCTATCCCTGGGAGTAAACCGGAGAACCCAGAGAAACCCTTGCAAATGGGGAGAACGTACAAACTCCACACAGAAAAGCTCCTGAACCCAAAGCCCCTTTTTGCTGTGAGGCAAAAAGGGGCTTTGGGCCGCCTTTGTATCCTTAGTGAAGATGTTTACACACCGCACCGGGTACTCATTTGGGGCTGAGTAGACTTAGGGGAGTTTGCATGATCGTCGCCGCGTATCAACGTTAATCGCAGTCATCCTAAGAACCCAGGTGTAACAACCCAGATGGAGTTAAGATGATTGCGTGATTGTTGTTGATACGCATGTATGTTGAACTTCTTTTGCACCATACGCAAGCCAACCGTGCCAATCGGAGGTGCGGTGGAAGGGCAATAAACTTAAACACAAAAAGCAGTTCTCAAGGTACGCGGCCACTTTCGCGCATTCTGACCTCGCAGCCTCGGGAACCCGCACAGAGCAACCAGACGAGGGCGCTCCACGCAGATTCAACTCCACACGGAAGCCGCCGGCTCAAGTAGCGGCTCGGTTCGATAACCAGGCTGGGTTTGGGGTATTCCCCGGTGGGCGGTTTCTTCGCACACCCGGTTGGACTCTGGGTGTGAGCGTCCCGCGTTGGTCGTGAGCGGGAGTTGACCTCCCCGTGGGTCAGTGGAAGCCACTGACGGGGGTGAGAGTCCAGGTGCAGGAACCCTGGACTCAGGGACCCTTCACCTGGACCCGAGACCCGGGGATCCTGCCTCTGGGCCCCTTGCCCTGGAAAGGACCTCCTCTCCAGGACATCTTCCTGCTTATAGAGGCATACACGTTCATACGTCCATATCATAGGCACATCAACGTGGTGTGTATTGTTCGCTCCTCGCTGTGGGTGGGATTCGAATCCAGACACTTTGCGTTGCTGGCCTCTCACTGAGCCCACTGTTTCTCCAGACTCAGCAGAGGGCATCAGGCGATGTAATGAGTGCAACTGCACGCACGGAGCTCTTCAAGAGCGTGTGGTTTACTGGTCTCACATCATCACGCAATACATAATACAAAACTTGTAAAAGCTGGATTTGAACCTTGGACGTGTGCCGAAGGTGCGTCACGCAAGCACGTGGTTGCGGGTGAAAATCTGGTTATTAAGTGATTGTCAATGCGAGCATTGACATGTAATGCTTTCGATTTAGAACAAAATTAACTAATTGCTCGTCTCGGCGTAATGATTTAGCTTAATTAAAAAGGAACACCTTGTCAGATTCGAACGAATGTCTGAGACTCAAGCCCAGCAGCAATCCCACACAGCCACCCTGCCTATGGCAGCAGGAGGGATCGATACACGGTAAAATAAATAGAAAACATAAATAACCAAAGGCTGCTGCAGGGTCAACACGCAACCAACAGCGGTACACTGACGTCTTCATTTGAGAGATGTTAACTCACTCGCCTGGTATGAAAGAGGGCGTGTGTTTGATCCAGACCCTGGCGCTTGTATATTTGGAGTCTGCATGTTCTCCACGTGGTCGCGTGGATTTTTTTCCAAGTCCTCCGGTTTTTTCCATCCGCATTCAGAATCAACGTGCGCTTTAGATGTCTGCTGCTAAAATGTCCACGTGATAAGCCCACATCGTTGGGCTATCATTTGTGATAGCCAGGTCGCTTCTGAAACATAGCTAAATAGCTCAGTAAGCCTTACCTGGTAAAATAAATGTTATTAGAACATGAATCCCTAAAACCTCTCTACTCTACTTACACCTGGCAACGACGTTTGGAGACTGACAAGTTTGTGTGTATATCAGAGAGCTTTAAAAAAAATGATGCCCCCCCCCCACCGCCTGAAAAATATAACGAAAGCAAAATATGTAAGAGGAACAACATCCATGTTCCGACCGTTATACGAGCGTTCAACGTTGATGTCAAAACATCGACGTGACCCACGCCTCGATCTCTTCGCTGCCAGAGCGAACCGCGAGGCCTCTCTCCCGTGTGGCTCCTCCAACTTACGGGGAACGCCCTTCTCACCAGCCACGTCCGTGACTCGGTTTGGGGGGGAGATCACTGTCGTTCTTCAGTCCCAACTGAAAACTCACTTCGATTACCATCGCTCGTGGTGTACCAACCCAATGCCTTAGTGCAATCTGGTCACCCTAATGGCGTTGTCTTGTGTGGTCTTTTTATATTTTACTTTAGTCACGTAGTGTTGACACTTTCACGTGAACGTCACTTTGTGCTCTTGCGATTAAAGGCGCTTTAAACAAATACATTATCATAACTTTTTTGTCCGTACCTTGTTAAAAAAATATACAGACAACAGCCGTGTGCACTGCAAGGCAGTTTTATTTCTGTCGGAGCCGACACGAGAGGAGGACGCGTCGCGCACGATCGGCCCAACACGCCGCCGTCACAGATACAAAACTAGACTCTCTACGATCCAGAGATAGACATCTGCGTATGATACATGTACATTATATACAATATCCGCTACCACCACCTCCGTGACCACGATCGCGCGCGCCCACGAAAGCTTCCCCGACACCTTAGGCCCGACTCGCTTCGTCACAAAGCGGCCCAAACTCGCCGCAGCGTCTTTGCCCCCCCCCTATCCCCGGGCTGATTTTCCCGGATGTTGGCGATGGAGGTGTCGGAAAGTTCTCAAGAAAAGTCAGACAAAAAAAAGCGACGAATCAGGCCACGAACAATATCAGCTCAATGCCGCCCTCCTCCAAACGTGAACGAAATAATTATACCGCCACCGACGCGTTGAGCCGAGTGAGGGGTGGTGGATAGACGTCACCTTGGTGTCAGTCGTTTAGGTTAATTGCGAAAGGCTGGGGGGGGGACGGTGTGGCTTGGAAAGTCGTGGGAGCGTACCCTGTTCAGAGCACATCACTCGCCAGCAACTTCACTACGACCCAGCCACACCGCTCACTAATCCACACGACTCCCTGTGCAGTCACGATCAAGGAGCCACACAGCTTAATTCGCTGCAACACCACTGCCCTACCCAGCCACATCATCCACGACCCAGTAAAACCACTCCCTGCCTCCTCCCAGGCACACCCTGGAGACGTAATCGGGCTCAACTCCAAACTTTAATCGACATCTCTTTTTCAATTACCAATAGCCGGTGTATGTAATTACTCGGGGAGTCTTGGAGAACAATGTGCCTCATTTTATTGAAGTGACAGTTTGCATTATGGTAACAGTGTCATTATATTTGTTTACAGAATGAAAAATTCGCTCCTCGTGTTTTTACTCTGCCGATTTTTACGTCAACTGCTTGGGCCAGGGTTATTGTTGGGTAATACGAGGATTCGGATGAAGGCTGGGTTAGGGATAGGGTTGGGACTAGGATGTGGTCTCCCTTGCAAATCCCACTCGTTTCAACAAATTCTAAGGTTGTTATAAATAATAATTGAGTATGAACAAGGAATTAGGACTCGAGTTTGAGTGAAGTTTGGATCAACGGTGCGAGGAAGTGCGATGATTAAGTTTGGTAAAAAGTTGTAAACTCTTACGGTTAAGACACGAATTAGGATCGATTCTCTGTTTTCAGATCATCATCACCTTGCTGTCCTCCATGTGAGACTCCACCTTTCCCCTCTTACTCACTCCCGTCTCACACGATCACCACAACCACACGCTCCTGTCTCACACGATCACCACAACCACACGCGCGAGCGCGACGCTGACCCTCCTCCCCACTCTTGCTCCGGGGCGAATCCCACGAGGATTGGGACACAAATAAAACGATGAGGCGGCGCTGGGCGACGGCAGAACGCGCCAACTCCCAAGGCGATAGAGCGGCCGCGTCGAGGCACCAATAGCGGACCGCAGTGCCGGCCGGCACCGTAATTTCTGCGACGGAAAATTGCGAGGGCGCACGAACCAGAAACGGATAAAAACACGGCTCTCCATCACAGCACCGGCGACGTGAACCTGGGGCCTGGCTCGCAGTGACGATGAAATACAACGAAACCTTCCTCCTCCTCTGAGTTATGCACATTGGAGTTTTGTGTTAATAGCCCATGAGCAGAGGTACTTGACCGGGACCACTTGGGGTGACAAATGCTACTAGTTACAGTATCCATCATTTTCAGAAAGCTTCACTTACATACGTCCATTTTTATAAGCTGTACATGTTTCGGTTCACATATTTTTTCCTTCCCAAAACGATATTCTGTCATAAATACCATGACACCATCTTTAATAATAATTTTTTTCTTAGATATTTAAAAAAGATAACACGATGACCTTGTCATCGTCCATATTCGTAATGTCGAAATTAAAATTGTTCCAAAAAATATTATTCGCATCTTCCACACTGGTTGGTACCAATAAGCAATCTTTGGGCCAATGGCTCAAGGGCTATAAAGTCGACGAAGACTGGGGACACAGTTCGGATTCAAGTCTTCTGTTCGTGGATCCTGCATTTGTTCAACAATGAACCGCTGCTACGGGCCGTGTGTGAAACGATCCACGCCAGGTCGCGTGGAAATGTTGCCACTTTCAGTCTGCAGCTGCCAGTTGCCCTCGCTATTCTACGCTGCAGAAGCTCACGGAGTGGAGACACTGGGGCGCAATCCATTACCGGAAAGCACCGGGTGCGGGTGGCGTTCAAGCAGCAACGGATTCACATTAGCGACACGAATATACAACTCCAGAGAGCATGCACCGCTGGCCGAGTGACCTTGATGCGAGAAGTGCACTCTTCCTCATGTCAGGTGGTTATCTTCGCCAACCTGCATTGACCAGCGTGAAGTACGGTCACATATTCCGCCCCCCCGCCCCATGCTAGTGCAGCCTGCAACATGGTTCTCAAGCTACCTACAACTCTGATTTTATTTACCATGACGGTGGCGGGGTTAGGTACGGGTGAAAGCAACGTTAGGATTCGATGGAGAAGAACAGGGCACTGTCTTAGGTTATTTACAACATGCAGACTATCCAAAGAATAACCATCGCCAAAGTTATTCGACACCAACATGGGAGGGTATTTCTAAATATCGGATTGGAGAAACAAAGGCGTAAATATTAATGGGGAAAAGTTACCATCTTAGACTTGATGACATAATCGTTATAACCATCCAATGGAAATTAACTGCAGGAAATGTTACCATAACTTTATAACAGAGAACGGTGCAAGGTTGGCGCACATGATAAATTATATATTTTTTAAACAAAGGTTATGTTCAACAAGTTCGCTTAACAATTGAAGATGTGTCTAAGGGTCACAGCTTTGAAAACAGAGCAGTGTGTGTGCGTGCACCAAAGACAGTTATGGAAAGTGGACCAGAATCGAAATGATGGAACGAGGCGGCAGATGACAGCAGGTTGGAGTGCTCTTGCAAATCGGAAATTGATAATAAAGTCACATAGCAATGTGCCTATAGAAGAAAACGTTCAATCAATGCTTACTACCTGCTATGACATACGGGTTTATGTCATGTCATTGACGAAGCATTTGGAACAAATACTGAAAAAATATCAAAGCGTGGAGGTATGCATGCTTGGCATTGTTATTAAAATATAAAACACATGGATGGGAGAATATCCGCAGGGTGAAGATAGAATTGTAACCGTTAAGAAAAATAAGCGGCCTTGAGCAAGACTCGAAGGGTTGATGGCCAATGGTCAAGGGTAATAACAGAGTGGCAGCCAAGGGATGGAACACGTTTGGAAGGACATCCACCTAAGAGTTGGGAGTCACGAGATCGGCACGTGGTGTGCTGGGTGGGGATTGTTACATCGCAAGATTGTGAGAGAAGGCAACGGCTTGGGAGAGGTATTCATCCAACAGTAGATTGATTATGGCTGGTGATGGTCACTGGAATGGGGGTTTCCACCCAGGATCTGGTTAGGGTTTGTGACAGGGATTGTGTTCATGGTGGGTTTCACATTCGGGGTTAGGGGTATATAGTTTGGGGTCGGTTTATGAATGAGGCTAGCACAATAATATATTGTGAACAAGTCAAATAAAATAACCATTTCACTAAGTGTTTGAATGCCATAGCAATTTTTAATCAATATTTATTTCTCTGTCAGTCATTAAAAAGTTTGCATCCTGCATTCAGTCACAAAGGCCACTGAAGAGTATCCCAATATAAATACAGTGGTAAGGGTGTGGGTTATAGCTTGGGCTAAGTTTAGTTGTGGTAAGGTCTGAGGTTATGGCTATGTTTTAGCTTCAGAGCTCAGGTTAGGGTTAGAGTTTGGCTTCGTGGGGTTAGGTTTAAAATTATGACCAGGGATAGGGTTATGTTTAGGGTGAGGGTTAGGTTCAGGTTCAGAAAGCACCACTCAGTAGCAATCGTTGGCTTATTATGCAAGACTGGTCCCCACCATAGCCAATGTTACATTTCCACTGGTGACTCAGGTTGCAAGGGAGCAGAATCCCACCCCCTTGTTGGTTAAAGTTAGTTCTTGGGTAAACCCAGATTTGCCATTTCGTCAGCTTAAGTTAAAATTCGTCTCAGTTTAAAAAAAAACAATAATTTATAGAATGCCAGTCAATTTGCAGTTAAGTGACATCAAACAAACCCGCTCGAGCCTAATCGCCAACTGAAAGTGCAGTGCAAAATAAACGTCCTGCCTCTGGTCGCATTTACGGACTAAACGTTCTGACGCTAAATTCCTCCGGGATTCACGGCACCCCGAAGCAATCACGGACGCGACTGCAGAAATTCTAGAGATTCGCAGCATAACAGCTCCCCCCCCTTTCACTCCTGCCCCCCTCCCCTGCCCCCCTAGCCCCCCCTAGTAAGCCGACATCCATGCAGTAAATTATTTTTCCAAAAAAACTAAAAAAGAAAACAAACACGACGATGATTAACAATTCCCGTAAATTTCACCGGCCGAAAGCCGGCGCAAAATCCGCGTCATCCGTGTTGTTTTCCCACGCAAAAACCGGCTTCATTGGGTTGTGAATGCACGAATATGGAATAATTCCTCTCCCTCAATTAAAATAAAAAAAACGTCTCAACGAAATAAGCTTGTTTACATGTCTACGTGTCTTTCCCCCCGACAGTGAATTTAATGCCAGAGAGTGAGAACCGCAAGAAAGCACGATTGTGTAAATGGTGAGCAGCTTCTGGTGTTTCCCGCCACTCCCCACAACCCCTCTCAACCCCCTCACCCCCCCCCACACCGCCCAGCGGTTGGCATCCCCTCAAACACTCCACAACGCGCCTCAAAATTGGTAGCAACTACTCAAATGGCGTTCGTGGTGAAGGGCGGCGGGAAGGGGGGGGGAGGGTCACAGAAAGGAGCGCTGCCATCAGTTCACCGCGCCACCAGAGGCGGCGTTGGAAGACGGTGGGCGATGGGGGGAGAAGCAAACGTGGGTGGTGGTGGTGGTGGTGGGGGGGGCGAGAGCAGGAGTGGCGTCGTAAGCGGCAGCAGCGGCGGCGGCGGCGACGGCGACGGCATTGTCGTGCCGCCTCGGACGCGCACCACGACGCCGCTCAGAACTCGTCGTCGGAGCTCAGCAGCATCGTCTTCTCGGTGTCGTGCGCGTGGGCCGAGGGGTGCCCCCCACCGCCCCCGCCGCCCGACGGCTGGCGCGCGTGGAACGTGTGGCTGTGCGCGTGGCCGGTGCCGTTGCGCTCGAGCGTCGACTGCTGCGTGTACTGCTGGTATGCGGGCGAGAAGTTGTGGATGGCGTCCTGCACGATATCGTTGGGGTTCATCGTCTCCTTCAGGCTGCTCGAGATGCTCATCGGGGCGCTCCGGCCTGTCGGGGAAGGGGTGGGCACGGGGTCGCGTTACATACACGTGTGCGACGAGTGTGCGGGTGCGACGGCGTGCGCGTATGACAGTGCGCGAGCTGGCGAGTACATGTGCAACAATATGGGCCAGGCTGCGTGAGCACGTGGATTAGGAATGTAACGATTTTCCCCCACTCCCCTCTCCTCACCGATTCAATGGCTTGTCACGATTCGGGATTGCGAGCAATGTTAGCATATTAACATATCATTTGCATGTAACTTGCATTAATCGTTTTCAGTCCTTATCTTTTATTCATAATATTGGTCGCGAAAGCCTATGTGTTAAACCTTGTCTTTTATTCAATCTATCCACTGGAATAAATTTCCTCTTAAATTAAGCAGCACTGCCCATAGACTCACTGTCCGCAGACTCAACACTGTCCATAGACTGAATACTTCCCCTGTACATGAAGCAGTCCCCCTCCATAACCTCCTTCCATCCCTCTCCCAAAGCCTCACCTCTTCTACATCAGCCCATCCTCTTTTTCTTCCATCCCCTCACTCCTTCCCATCCCTCACCTACCCTTCCGTGATTCCCAAGTACCATCTATCATCGTCACTCATTCCTTAAACGTTGTACGCCCCTTCCATCTAAATAATTATATTGTCACCGTTTTGTAACCTATATCAAGCGCCTTGAGTGTAGGCACTCAATAAATTAGATTATGTATCTATGAATATTGATCTTCTTTCGCACCGTACATAGGCAACCGTGCTAATCCGATAATATTTATACGCACACGATCCAGCGCGTAGCCTCATGACGCAAGCAACATTAATTAATGAACGCATCATTCCATGACGAACGTGTGCGTGTGCACACACCGAGTGTGTCGACGCGCTTGTTGAGGTAGGGCCAGTGCGAGAAGGCGTAGCGCAGCGCGACTGCCGCAAAGAACATCTCAATGCAGATGATGAAGTTCTGGTATCCAGCCGCCACAGTGCCCACGCCGGCCACCAGCTTGCCGTCCAGCGAGTAGATCATGGGGATCGCCCCGCACTTCTCCAGGATCGCCAGCAGCATGCCTGCAAAGGGTCGGAGGGGTCACAGTGGAGGTACGGTCGGCATCGAGTGACAAGCAGCGTCGCTCGCACAGGCGATCGGGTCGGGATAGGCGAGACGAGGTTGTGATTTGTCCGGTCATTTTCCCGAGCCGTAGATTGTCTGGGGGAACTGTGTGTGTGGAAACCAACGTACCCAGGTGAGGCCCACATGCGTGGGTTGGTGCTTGCTTAACCAATATTTGTACGTACACGTGTAGGTGTCTACCTGATTACTTGTACCATGGACACCTGCCTGCTTAGTATGCCCTTGTGTCGATGCAATCATGGGACCATATACAAGGGTGCTCATATACCTGCATGCCAATGTATCCGTGTGCTGTCACGTACCCATGTTTGTTTGTGCGTGTCCACTATCACGTGTGCATGTGGATGTAGATGCATGGGTGCGTACGAGCCCCAGTGTCAGTGCGTATGTGCACCTACATCACTGTGTATTCATGTCTCCTTTACAAGCGTGTCTGTAACTCCCCGTACCCGTGCCTGTGTGTGTGCCCACATATCCATGCGTCAAGGTCTCCGCTACTCAGGCATGCCCAAATGTCTCCGCCTGCGTCACATTTGTCATGTCTTCGTGTGCCCGTGTCTCCCATCTCTATGTACCCGTGGTGCCGCCGTGCGCCCACGCCTCCTCCCACATGCCACCCACCCTGCCAGAAGGAGAGGAAGATGACCGACTTGACGGTGAAGAACTTGAGCACGGGCTCGAAGGGGCTGAGCAACTCGCGCGTGGCGAAGTAGAAGAGGAAGAGGGCGTAGAGCGCCAGGCTCACGGACACGTTGTAGATGATCGTCACGTACAGGTACCCATTAGACACGCTGCCGGGGGGTAGAGGGGAGGCGGGACCGGAGGGAGTGGGAAAAGGGTGGCAGGCAGGGTTGGGAGCCACAGGGCAGTAGAGCAGCGGTGAGTTGGCGACGCTTGGAACAAGCTTCACTTGCAACGTTTCACCCCCTCCACGGTCCGACAAATCGTTGCGATTCGGGAAGGCGCTTCGATTCAATGCTTGATAATTTTCTGCCGCCTGTGGTTCATGTACAATCCATAGCAGCAGCGGGGTTTCTATGAACAAGATCGCGTACAGCGCATGTGAAATTTAAATTGTTGAATTTTATACATGTCACTTCATGGATGTATCGTGTTATAAACTGGTGAATCATTAAATGCGAGCTAGATCTAGCAATCGGAGGACCTCGCACAATACTGCTGACGGTTTGTTTCCTGCTACAGCTGCCTTATATTTTTTTACTGTTGAATCGTCGCTGTGTGCCGACTACGAACATTAAAGAACCCATGATGTTATTGGCAAGTGTAAGCTGTTGTGTCGATGCGATGGAATGTGGGTACAGTTTGGTATAAGAATAATAACTTTCTTGCCAAGATGTAGCCTCCCAGATCTCACTACTAAACAGTTTTCTCTTGCCTGGTTAAGTGTCATTACTGTGCACATGTAATCAATATATTTACATTCACCAAACACATGTATCAGCGAAATACATAATACTATAAACCTCGGGTTCTGTTATAATGTGATGATGAACGAATGTAAAAAAATATATATTTTATGTCTCCTGCTGTAAACCCACGGTACATCGAATCCACACGCGGCGCGTGCTTTCCCCTTCCGTTCTACCGACTCCGTAACACTCGTGGTCACTCCATCTCCACACCCGGAGTCACCCGCCTAACCCCTTCACCTCCACACCCAGCGGCCAAATACTCTTAAACCTCTGTTGATTCTAAATGTGGAGGGATTAAACCGGAGTACCCTGCGAAAAAATCCATGAGACCACAGAGAGACCATGCAAACTCCAAATACATAGGCGTCAGGGTTGGGATCGAAGCCACGACCTGCTTTATACCAAAACAAGAATTCTATACTCGGAACTCTCGTTGTGAGAGCAGTGTAACACCGTGTGTCAAGAGAGCGGCATTGGAAAAAATATTTCACAGAACTATTTCTCAGGTCACTTTTATAGCATCTTTATCCAGTTGCAGAGAGAGTTGATCGCACGTCAATAACACCGAGATTTTTACTACTCAGAGCTGTTCTAAAATAAATTAAAAAGTTAAATGTGACGGGGTTTTCTGTGCATTCACTGGTAACTGGCTTCAGACCATCAACTCGCTGCACTTGAGAATCCGTTTTGATCACAGAGAGCTGAAACCCGGATTTAAACACAGGATTTCAGCAGCGCTGCCTTTGTGCTCTGATGCGGCCATCATGGACCACTGATCCACCCAGCTTTGGCTATTAACAAGGCCCCGGACAGGAGGGAGGGGAAGGAGAAGGGGGGGGGGTCGCGTGGTTTAAAGAGGAGCCTTTGTGTCACCGAGCACAAAAGCGATGACTGCCTTTTTACAGCGCAAAACTAGGCACGGAAAAATAAATATATATCCATTTATTTGTGGAACGGGTGCCATGGTTAATTTGCCCTGAATGCAGTCAGTTTCCTGAGCAGATGTCTGGGCACAAATAGACCACACAAATCCCCCCCACCTCCACCTTGCAGCACCACCAACCCCTTCCCTCTCCTCTCCCCGCACATACATTAACGAGTGCAAGGGTGGTGGGGGGAATGAGAGGGTTCAGGGAGGAGCGGAGATGAAGGGAATCTGAGAATGAAGAAGGGGATCGCGGGGCAGTGACGGGGGGGGGGGGATCCGGGAAGCCCCCTCACTCGAAGTCGCCGTCGCGGTATTTGCCGAAGGCCTGAAGGATGAGCGTCACGACGGCCATGAGCGGCTTCACCACACAGAACTGAAGCGTCGCCTGCAGCACAGGGAGAGGTGGGGAGAGGAGGGGAGGAAAGGGGAAGAGCGATTATACAGTGAGACACGGGGGTGTAGGGAGCAGGCGGGGGAGTAGGGATCAGGCAGCGGAGAGTCCAAGGTAGCAAGTGGGAACTGGACAAAAGTGAGCGGACAAAAGGAATACGGAGTATGAAATGAGGAGTCAAGAGTGGATAGAGTAAGCGAGATGTAGGGAGTGATGAGAGTAAGGAGTGGAGAATAATATAAGGAGTTCAAAGTTTGTAGTGGGGAGTGAGAAGAAGGGAGCAAGGGGTGGGGTTAGAGACCTGAGAAAGGGTGGCAGACGGCAGCAGGGAGTAGAGTGAGGAGTAGGGAAGAGAAATGTGAGATTTTGAACAGGGAGCGTGCAGCAGAGGGGAGAGTGGGGATTGGGTGTGGGACCAGAGTGACAGAGACAGTATTGGACAGAGACGATGGAAAGGCAGCGCGAGGTTGAATTACACAACATCACGATGACACGCATCAAAAATTTGCTCTCAATGGGCAAGTGAAAGCTAAAGCATCTTCCTGCTCAAATGAGCACTGGGACACTTGGCAGCCCGGAGCCAGTGTCAGACCATTTAATTATCATGGCTCAGGCCAGTCTCGCCACCCCACGATTGGAAAGTAACCAAGCACAGTTGTGAACGATCAACGAGCATGTCTGACGTGCGAGCTTGCCTGCTTGCAGAAGCGCAGGAAGCCAATGGAGTAGTTGTGACCGCACAGGCAGCACGTGCCGTATATGCAGCTTGACCTGCATGCACATGCAGGGGTCAGAGGTCACACGTACTATGCATGTATGTTGAATTTCTTTCACACCGTACGTAGCCAACAACGCTAACTGGCATTGCTTCTACACAAAGACTGAGATTCACATCATCTCAAACTGAGTGACAGATTCACATTCGCTTGTGTGTGACATTGGTGCCCGGGACCCACTCGATTGGCTTGCCCCGGATCTCGGACATGATGGCGCTCTCCCCACCGAGGTACTCATAGCACAGGCTCAGGAAGTTGTAAATCACAAATGCTGCAACGCAAAAAGATAAGAGGGTAAGAGCACACGTTAGCACGCATGACACACAAAACAAAGCTGCATCTACATTACATAGACAAAGATGCCCATAGTAGCCTACATAGGCTGCGAGGGTAGGGGCTGTTGGCGAGCACCTACAAAGACAAAGATCCCACATATAGCCTTAACAGACTGTTAGGGAAAGTGCTGCAAGCGATTATCACCTATGAAGGCCTGCAGGCCACACAAGGGGGTGGGTGGCTAACACCACGCCCAGCCGCCTTTGTCCCACCAATGGCGATGTTTACAAATCACACCAGGTACTCATTTGAGGCTTAGTCGACCTAGGGGAGGCCCAGGACCGGTTCAGATAATCGTTACTGATGTTGCCCGTGATCAGGAATTGAATTTAGGTCGCCGGGTTCGTCGCGCAGCGCGCTAACCGCTACACTACCACTCCCCACACACACTCGCACACAGGCATTCACTTCCACGTACAAGCACACACGCTCACACTGGCACACACATGCTAATAAGGACTGCTGGCACGGGTGCGGCGCAGGTGTGTATCGCGGTTTTCGTTGTGCGCCGTTGGCTGCTCTCGCGTGTGCGCGAGGCGACGCTGGCGAGCGGCGGCGTTACCCTCGTAGCAGTCCCGCACGGAGTCGAAGTAGATGTAGAACTGGTCGTTGCTGAAGAACAGGAGGCTGAGCCACGAGTCGAAGGCGTAGATGGGCACGATGAAGAGAATGCGCACGATGTGCCGCTGCTCGTTCGGGCAGCTATAGTGCTTCAGGTGCACGTAGATCTGGCACGCACACACGCACGGCGTTACGCTCGTCACACCACTACTCACTCACATGATCATGTCTACTCCCGGAGCTGCATTGGCTTCCGGTTGCCGGACGAATACATATATATAGAACCGTACATAGCCAACCATGCAAATAAGTGTGGGGGAAGGACAACAAACTAAACACACACAAAAATACATTATAACGTTGCACTTATTGTACACCAAGTGCTTGCCACAAATTAACCACAATACCTTGCTAATCTCGTCAAGGAGCATAAACCATTACGCGAATTTCAGTCATCCTCGCAGCGGCTTTTGGCTAACCATCGAACAAAGACGGCTACTGCATCGTGCACTTTGATATGCACTTCTGCGGCCGTTTGGAACGCTCTTCCTTCCGATATTAGGAAGCCACTGGAGCTATGCACTTTCAAATCTAGATTTAAAACTAATTTCTTCAGAACTGCTTTTTGTGCTTGGTTTGTCGTCCTTCCCCTGCACTTCTGATTAGCACAGTAAGCTACGTACGAAGCAAAATAAGTAAAATATACATACAAAGACCCCCCGTATAGCCTTAACAGACTGTAGGAGCAAGTGCTGTTAGCAAGCACCTATGAAGGCCGGAACGGTACACGAGAGGTGGGTGGCCAGCACCACGCCCGACCACCTTTGTCTCCCCAGTGGCGATGTTTACACACCGCACCAGGTACTCATTTGAGGCTGAGTCGACCTAGGGGAGGCCCGGGACCGGTTCAGATAATCGTCACTGTTGTTGGCCGTGAACGAACCAGACAGTCTCGCCCCCTTCACCTGATGAAGGCCGCTTGTGTTGTGGCCGAAACGGCGTGAGAATATTATTGTGTTATTTTATTTTATCAATTTATTATTTTATTATCATTCTACGTGACTTTACCGAAAGAACCAAAGAAGAAAAATGGCAATTGTAAATTTCCCTAAATTGTCAGCTTACATAAGAACTTTATGGAATGTATTTCTTGGTAAATTTTACATTTGCGATTTGTGGCAAGACATAGGCAAAAAGTGACCTGCTCCCGCGGTCGATGATGGCACTAGGTCTTGTACTTCCCTTTCGCAGAACGCACGCTTCGCTGAGTACACCGCAGAAATAAATTACCAGCCAACTGTAGCGGGAATCAAACCCACAATTGCATGCGACATGACCAAGCGGCAAGCCCGCCGACCGCTCGGCCACCCAGCAGTTTCCGTATCCAAGCGTCACCCCCTTGCCAAATGAACAGTGCTGCTACATACATAGCCCCAGCCACGACTCTAACCGGGGTCCAAAATGTTCCAGCTTGTTACAGTGTGTACCAGGGTGTTATCTTCCTGTTCACATGAGTGTAGGGTGCCCCGAAGTCAGTGATGGAAAGTCCACATTTCTGTGACGGGGAGGGGGGGGGCAGTATATCCATAAACAAGCATTGTTGGCTTTTCTATTCCAAGTGATGATGATGATGATGACGGTGAGGATGGTGATGTTGGTGGGGCTCAATAAACCTTGACTGGGAACTGAACTGGTGGCCTCACAATAGCCAGGCCAGCGAGTGACCGACTGAGCTCATGTACATCATACGTTGAATAAATATTCTTCGCAATTAATTTTTTTAAGCATATAAATGTAGGGAGTGGATTTTTCCTACTCGTTCAGCAATTTTGGAACAATATGTTTTAACCTTTGAATAGTTGCTGAGGCAGCAAAAATGTATTATAAATAGATACAAAGATCCCCTGTGTAGCCTTTTACAGACTCTTGAGGCAAGTTCTGTTCGTGAACACCAATGAAGGCCGACACGGCACATAAGGGGGTGGTGTGGCCAGCATCATACCTGGTCGCCTTTGACTCCTCATTGCTAATCTTTACACACTGCACCAAATACTCATTTAAGGTCGAGTCAAACTAGGGAAGGCCCCAGGCCGGTTCAGATATTCGTCACTATTAGTGGCCATGAGTGGGAATCGAACTCGGGTGGCCAGGTTCGTAGTGCAGCGCGCTAATTGCTACGCAAGCGCTCCTACAAACACACAATGCACACTCTTCCAAACACGCGTACAGATTCTCACACACACAAGGACAAACGTGCACATGAAACAACTCGTACATACATGTACACAGAACAAACGAAGACAATACACTATATATAAGCAGACGATATTGCCTATACTTCTCTGTTCCTCCACGTAAAATATAACAGCAGATCGCTCATACAGCCTTTTACACACCGTTGGGGAAAGTGCTGTTAACAAACACCTATTGAGGCACAGTCCAATACGGGTGGTGTGGTCAAAACCACACTTGGCCATCTCTGTCTCCCAAGTGCACGCTGATATTTACACACTGCACCAGGTACACAGTTTAAGACTTAGTCGACCTAGCGAATGCCCAGGATGAATTAAAATATCACTCGCCACGAACGAAAGCCACGGCTGGAAATACAAACTCAGGTCGCAGTTTTAATCGCAGTTCGCTAACCACTTGACCACCACACGCTCGCACACATGTGCATAGCTGCACATGCAACAGTACACTATCTCACACGTACACAAACACCACCTAGGGCAGTGATACCGGCTGCTGACAGCACAGAAAATAGGACAATAACACCCGACGCGATGAATCGTAATTTTTCAGTACACTAGCAAAATAAATTAACTTGCCTACCTGCACACATTATAATGGAGTTACTCAGCTATGTGAGCAGCCCCAAGTCTGTCGTGGAAGTTCCATATTTCTATGGTAGGGGCCACTTTATAGAAAGTGGTACTATTTTTCAACTTCAAATGCTTGCAGAATTTAATAGGCTTATAAAATCAAATGAGAATAATTTCTCGTTTCACTTACAACAGAGCGATGATGGTAATGATGATGAGCCGAGTCAAACCCACACTACGATTTTAATTCACGACTTTCCGAACGTGAACCACTGCCACAGCACCACCTGACCGGATACTCCAGCGAAACCTTCAATATAATAATAATTAACATTTGTAAATTTTCACAGTGGAGGACGATTTGAGAATACAGCGAAACCCTCTATCCGCGAAGGTTATGTTATATTGAAAACGCTCGCGAATGTGGAATTTGCAAATGCAGAAACCTTGTTCCAACAGGACAAATGGGGTTACGTTCCTGGTACGAGTAAACATAGGTAAATGGTAGAAAAAATGGTAAATATTTAATAACAATTACTACAATAAATAATACATTATAAACAACGTGTTTTTAATTAACTTTAATGATGATGATACGACGACGACAATGAAGGTGGTGGTGGTGATGGTGAAGAATTCAGCAGGACGACTCCTTGGGAGATGCAGGTGTTTGATAACAACGCTGCACAGTCATCATTTTAGCACTCTGGAGAGCGCTAGCCGCAACACTTTCCCTGATTGCATTTGCGTCCTTTTAAATGGACCTGACAGTCAACACGTTTATTTATACCAAAATGTAGAAACGAGTCGACTGCAAGTATGTATAAAGTAAAAATGCACAATAGCGAGTTCCGAGCGGGATTACTGCGAGCCTTGAGGACAAAGCGAGCAGCCGAGAGGGCGTGCCTAATCTTCACAGACAGTTTCAAATGTAAAAATTTACGTGCACCTCCCCGGAGTTGGTCTGGCATGGACACATGCCAACACTGGAGTCCGGCCGGTCGCGAATAGGGAATTAGTAAACATTTAGTCACTTGAGAATATGCGAAACTCGCGAATCCGTGACTTGCGCATAGCTAGGGTTTACTGTACTTCAACATAAGCAAGACGTGATACGCTTACAGAGCAGTACACTTGGTAAACAAGCGACAAGATGCATTAGTCTTATCGAAAATATGAAATAAAATTTGAAAGCAGAGGTCAACTTTGGAATCCTGGTGGCAGGTGCAGCCCGTTGGCAAGACTTTCACCGGTCCCTTCTCATGGACAGTCACTCTACACCGGCACAACCAGCACATGGTGCGGCATCACCAGGAAAACTTGGCAAAGTGTTACTAGGTCATGGGCACATTTCCAACAGGAAATTCTAGTACAGTGTTACTAAAACATGGTGTGGTGTAACCAGATAAAACTTGGCATGGGATGACCAAGACACCGTGCAGTTTTATTATGGGGTATTGCCAGATGATCAGTGGTGGTGCTGACTAACTGATCACTGAGATTCCGGGTCACTACTCATCCACACTCAGGCATGATGCAAGCTAACGGCTGTGATGAAATGGGATTTACGAGTCAGGACAATTAACATAATGTGCTCACCCTAGGGGCCAGGCAGCCAGCCAACCAGCCAACCATCCAACCATCCATCCAACCACCGAATCACCCCCCCAAATTATCTATCCAACCATCCATCCAACCACCCACCCATCCATCAAACCATCCATCCATATAGGCAACCAAGGCAGCCACATACACACGTGCAATTCGATTCGACACATGTTTCATGAGCGTAAGAATCAATTTGATTAATGAAACGGTGTGATGCATCATGACACGACTAATGGAAAGGGATCCTCAGTGCAACATGGGTTGAGAAGCCCTGCCTGCACCAACCAGCTACATGCCCATCTTCCACCCCACCCCCTGTTTCCCACTCCGTCCCCACCATTCCTCCATACAACTCCCCACTCCGATTAGGCATGGCCCCTTAAGCAAGACGATGCGTAACCGTACGGCGAAACCGGCAGTCGCCCATCGATCCGCCACCAATCGCAATCCACTCATCCACCCTGCGGAGAAATCCCAAAGCAGGCCCGGGGGACCATTGCTCTAGCTTTTACATTTTGTTTGGACGTTTTAATTTCCGTAAAATGTTCCGCCGGGTGGGGATCTACTGCCGTGCAGGGCGACGGTGGCGCAGTGTGTGGCGGCGTGTACCGCGCCAGCGGACGCGTCTGGTCACAACACACGGACTGCGAAATGCAGTCGCGCTGCGAAGTGCGCCAACGCATTCGTGGGTGGCGCACGAGGAGAGGTGGTGTGGGCACTTGGCAGGCATTCGA